GGACCCTGCTCTCAGGGGAACTCTAGTCTGATGGAGATGGGAGGACAACAGGACACTCCCAAGACAGGGTGAGGATAACAAACACTGTATGGGAGCAGGCAAGAGACTGAGATAAGAGGACAGGGTAAGGCCAGTCTGCCTTTCTGAAGAAAGAGGACAAGGAGAGAAAGGTACGGGAGTTTCACGGACCAGCCTTGGCAAAGGGCTGAGGTGAGGTGGGGACGGGGCTGAGGCAGGGACTTGGAGCCACAACCCCAACGTTTGGGGAGACACAGGAGCCAGTTCAGGTGAGCGACTGCAGGGAAGAGTCACGAGGCTGCAGATGGCATCCAGGCAGAAGAGGGGCGTAGACCAGGGGCGTCTGAGGGGACTGACAGGAGGAGGCTTCCCAGGCCGGAGGCAAGCCGGAAGTGGGGTCTGGACTGGGCTGAAGAAATTCACTTCCAAGGCTGAATGAATTCTCCCCAAAACGGTGAAGAAAATCTATGTGCCCCCCAACTCCCACCTGCCAGGAAGGTCCCTCCTCAGCTCTGGGAAAGTTGTGTGGCAACCCTTCAGGAGGGACCCTCCACCTGGGAGGGGTTGTCAAAGTCAGGGCTACAGAGGGCACCACAGTGAGCCCTGGGCCCAGAGGGAGGCCATAGGGGACCTGAGTGCCAGGAACTGAGGGCAGGCAGATGGGAAAGGGCACAGGAGGGTACACCCTGGCCCAGGGGGCCACCCTGAGGATTCTGGCAGCTTATCCCCAGACTGACTCTGTGACCCTGCCGAGCTTGTGTTTCAGGTGCTTCCTGTTATCATTAGGATTATTATTACTAATGAGGATTCCTGTCAATATTCACACCTGCATGTGGATTCCAGGACTCAGAGGCAAGTCCTGGTTTTCCTCCTTCTCTACTGGTGGTTTCCTGGACTCCTTGCCTCTTCCCCAAGATGGTGAGCAATCTCCAAGTTCAATCCCAAGGCTTCATTCTTCATTCTCTATTCTCCTCCCGGTGGACCTCCCACTCCCCCAGCCTCTGCCCTTGACCTCTGTGTGGTTAGATCCGTACCTCCAGGCCTGTCCTCTTGTAGGAGATGAAATTACATTCTAGGGGGAGATGAAATTACATTCTAGGGATGTGGAGGGTTGAGGATCAACCATTTGCTGAGCCGTATGTTCCAGGCTCTGTAATATGCCTGTCACACAAAACAGCCCTATTACTATTCCATTTTACAGACAAAGAAACTGAGGCTTTGAAAGTTTATTAAATAACTATAAACTCACATCTGTCTAGCTCCAAAACTGAGGCTTTTTTTCTTCGCAGATGGGAACATGGCTAACTTACTAACGTGTACTACAAGTTTTCTTCCTCCTCCTTTCTTTAATTCCTCAAGAAACCTACACAGGAGTCCGCTATCACCTCAAACTCAGCCTCTGTGACAATGTGATCAGCAGTTTCACCCCATCCTCCTCTGCTCGATGTCCTGCCTTTGTCAAGGCTTCAGTCTCCTCCTTGGCGCTCAGTGTCCCATCCTGCCCATCCTGCTAAAATGCATCTAAGAAGACTGGGGAGGGCAATGGCCACAGACGGGTGGCAGAAGGCCATCCTGTCCACTCCCCACCAGCAACCACAATGATCACACCCAGCTCCTCCAGATTCCCTAAAGCAGCCACTATCCCCACCTTGTCTGCAAGTTCCCACATCCCCCATGCACCCCTCTGCTGCACATTCTTCCCAACCTAACTACAAAGAACTGAATGGAATTGGTTTTGTTTCCATACACCAGGAATCAATAAAATTGTTAACCCAGATGGGCTGAATGAATGTTGAGTTAACTCCAGAGTGTTAACTGTTAACTCCAGAGCAGGGGTTTCCCAGGTTCCCACCAAATCAGGGAAACGACATGAGGAGACTCCCTGGGCAGCTTAGGGGACAGGGCTACAGATTCAGTCCCCTGCCTCCAGGCAGGCCCCAACCTAAACCCATAGGAGTGAAGTAGTTTTTCTAACTCTGGAAGGATTATGATTGGGTAATTCCCAAAACTCCTTTGTTTCCAGTGAGGCAAAATAATAATTATTATTATTATTAACCCCTCCCCAGAGTCACCACAGTTTGACTGGGCCTAGAGTAGGTGAAATGTAATTGAGCAGCACGCGTGGTAATAGTTAGTCAAAGAGGAGCACACAGAAGAAAATTCCTTGGGACTCCATATGACTCATGGTCTTGAGAATTAGGGGCTTAAGAGAAGACGACTAGAGGATGACTTCCTAGAGGCTGGGGAGAGAGTCAGAGAAGGAACTGAGACAATGAGAACGCACAAGCATTTCTTGAATAGATTTCCTATGGCTGGATGCCCTGGGAGACAAATGTATGCAAATTCTTTGGATGCCAACGCAGGTTTCTGATGGCTACCGAAAGAGAAACCCGGAACCAAGGGGATATAAATTCTCTCAGTAATTTTTCAGTGACCTGAGGAACCAGAATTCAGCTCCAGCAAGGTGGGGGAGAGATGGAAAAGGTGGAACTAGGAAGTAGGATGAGGACAATTTAGGTAGTATTTAATAGAAGTAGCATAACTTTGTGCTGTTTGCATCTCTCTAGAAAAATAGAGAAAAATCAAGACGTACTTGAGATTTCCATGCTTGAGGCAACACTTGTGTACCCAGCCTTCTGCTTGCCTGGGATGACACGGTCCACCTAACTTTTCCAAGCCAGTTGTTAAATGCAGCCATTATTAAAAAGTAAATTACATACATTTATAACTAAATGATATTAAAACAAAGTTGATAAGTACTCAAAATTCATCACTTCCTGATGACTTTACTACAGTGCACTATTACCTAAGCTCTTAAAGTTATTTACTTCCTCCATTGTATCTGTATCATGGAAATACCATACAATCATGTGCTACCAAACATTTCTCCCAATTCCATGCCAGTCACATCGTGTTGGTAGCTTGAATTCAGCCATAGTGGAAGCATTGACATCATGGAAATCAGCAAAGGCTATAAATCAGGGCTTCCCAGCCCCTACCCCACCCTACACCCTACTCCCAAAGCCACTGTTGAACATATGTCACCACAAGTGCTCTCTTCCAGCACTGAACAAGGTTTCATGCAGGAGAAATGAACAAAAAACACCAAGGTGTCCCTGAAGCAAAATTGTTGAAACAGAAACTTCCCTCCCTTATTCTCCTGGGGTGGTAGGTACAGTGACTGTCTGTCACAAGTACAGTGACTTACTTACAGTCACAAGTACAGTTACTGTAAGTAAGTACTGTGATCTCAGCATTGGATTTAGGAACTCTCTACCTTCCCTGTTGACTCACCCTAACAGCAAGTTGTTCTCAGAGTCTCTCTAAAATCTCTCTTGCTGCTTTTTAGTGAGCCTTTCTTGCCAGAGCCTCACTGGTCCCACCCCCTAAATGGAGGCTAAGTCTGATCATGGCTTCCTTGCTCCTGGAATGGGGAAGATATCATTCAACAACCTGCACAGCCAGCTGGCTGCCTCTGTCCCTCAGCACCTTGCAGGAAGCTGAGCTGGAAGCTCCTCAGACTGGGAGCACCCTCTCCACATCGTCCTATATCATCCCCTGCCTTAGGGCAAAAGTATGCCAGGCACAGTGCCCTGCTGAAGATCTCTTCATCTATGACAAGTCATCTTATAGGTGCTCATAAATATGACCAAATAAATGAAGGGATGAATGGTTCCTGGAGTTCCCTGCTCTTCTCCTTATTTAATGTCCTTTCCTTCCCATTTCCAAGAACTCCCCACCTTCCCACCCCCAGGACAGTTGTCTCTAGTTCCTTTTGCCTCATTACTGTCTCTCATCTCTCCCAGCAAGCTCTATAAAAGCAGAGTTGCCAATGCCATCACCCCTTTGCAAATACCCAAGGCATCTTGAGGGTTTCCTAGTTATGTGTTACTAACAAGGGTTTGGGGGCTTCCTAAAGACACTTTGAGGCCCATGCACACCCCACACCTCCTGTGACCCTAGAATAGGAGCAGGAAAAATGAGGAAGACTAGCTTCTCCTCAAAAGAAAAGAGACAGAGAAGAAAGAGGCTGGGCTCTCAACAAGCAGGCAGCTGGGGAAAGGAAAGCAGAATGAAGCAACCTTGAAGTACTGTGCTCTTCTGAACACCTCCCACCAACTAGACCAGACAAGTGTCCAGTTGTGTCCCTGTTGCAGCCATCCTGTATGGAGTGCAACCACTTTGTCCACTAGAGGCAGCTGAATTAGAAATACAATGCTCTGGGGTCCCTAAGAGTAGAACTTGGATCAAGGGATAAAAGCTATATGGGGACAAAAACCGGGTTCCAGAGAAATGTTCTGTTGAATATTGACAGTGAGAGGCCAAGTGGCCTGCCTTGGAAGGTAGTGAGCTGCCACTGGAGGTTGTCAAGAAGAGGTTGAATACCCTTTGTCAGGAATGCTATAGAAGGAATTCAAATACCAGAGAAACAGCCTGCTGTCCTGGAACCAAACATGCCTAGATCAAATCCTGAATTATCTTTATTATCTTTGTTGCCTTGGTCAAGATACCTAATCCCTCTGAGGCTCAGTTTATTCATCTGTATAATGGGGATAATACACAACCTCATAGGACTAAAGTAAGGAATAAATAAGACAAAAAATCGAAAAGCACCTCAACACTTAATAGGTGCTCAATAAATGCCAATCCCCTTCCCACCAAAAGGGGGAGCTGGGCTAGCTGGCCTTGAAGGTCTTTCTACACCAGAGAGTATGACTCTGAATCCCTTCCTGGCTATTATGAAAGAAGGCATACCTCTGAAAGAGATAAAAGAAGTCAGGAATAGATCAATGAGGGGAAGAGAAAGAAGGATGCTAAGAACCATCAGGGAACATTTAGAGGTCATCCGTGACAGAGCTCTGTTTCCTCTCTTCTGACCTTCTAGAATAAAATGAAAAAGTAGAATTGGGGATTTAAAGTCCAGCCTGAGGGGCCTCAGTTTCCCTATCTGTATAGTGAAGGAGTAGGATTTTTTTTAGGTCAGACTTCAGAGTAATAATGTTGAACTTTGCTTCATCATGCTCAGTAAACACAGATCATTATAAATCCAGCCAAGGCCTTTCCCAGCAACTCATGCAGCTAAGTAAAATCACTAATACCTGCAGACTGCACATCCCTTCCCAAGGACAGGGGGCCTGGGAGAATGAGATGACTGGTTTTATGTGACAATGGATGTGAAACAGTGACAGTATTGACTGACACCGAATTAAGGGGAAAATATGAAGGAAAAAAATCAAAGACAGACAGACACACACACACACACACACACACACAGAGCAACCTGCCAGAAGAATAATATTGAGATCCTGGTTTTGGTAGAACTAAATATAACATCTTATATTTTCACGAGCAAATTGCCCAACAAATTGAAATGGAAATATACTAATGTTACTACAGTCAGATATAATGTCAACAACTTGCTATTCTCCTCAATAATTCATTACAAACCAATTTAAAGACCTAGAGTACATTGAAAACAACCACCAAAATATTCCAGAGTTAAGTGTAAACAAATAGTATGAAAGAATCAAGAAGGATGATCAAATAAAAACAAGGCAGGCCAAACAAATGAAGCCCAAAGTCCAAAAGGATTCTGAGGGAGGTCTAAGCTAAGTTCTAACATCCTTGAAACAAGGGACCAAAGTGGTAAGGTAACACCATCCAAGTTTTAGCATGGAAATAATAGAACCCACACTACTTTTCCTGATACATGTCTCATAGCAGACATGAAACTGCTGACTTCAAGAACTTACCCTTTCAAATGTATTTCTGCTACCAAAGCACAAATAATCTAACTAAAATGAACTCTACAAATAGGTATACAAATAAATTACATATACAATGAGAAACAGACAGCCCAGAAAATTCAGATATACAAACACCTACTCCCCTGCGTCACTATGTTGTCCTCATGAGCTCATCAAATACAAAATCATTCACATTCATCAAATGCCAGTTGAACTATGAGGTTCCTTCTTAAATCTTGGGCATTTAGGATGGACCTAACTAGTTTTTTAAGTTTAATCTTGCTCAGCACAGGAAATTAATCCAGCCAAGCTTCTCCTATTAATCATTTCTATTCCATATTAAAAATTCTTAAGTCATAGGCAAGTGGGAATTGCATTAGGAAAGTAGATTCCAATGCCCAACAGAGATGATGTCGAACAAAGAAGGATTAGTAGAGCTTGTCTACTTGTCTGCATCCCCCTCCTTGCTGTGTGACCACCTGGTACCTTTATCAACAAAGGAACATCTATAACATTGCCCACTTTACTTACTGTTTGCTTAGCAAATATATCCTTGGAACTTTATCTCAAACATTACTCTTCGATTAAGCACTCCCCACCTCACTAAACAAGAGAGGACGTCTCATGCCTATTAACAAAAACAGTGCTTATTGATTTCCACTTTTGGACCAAAAATGACTAAAACATCCCCCAAAATACATTGTAAATATCACGACAAGGTGTTTAACAAAACAAGTGCTGGTAAATACTGAATAGCTCAATTAATCCCTATTTAGGAGTGGCTGACCACTTCAGGGTGTAAGAGTGTGGAGCTGGATCTCAGAAAGGCCTAGATTCTAACCACAGAATATTCTATTATAAGGTAGTAACTGTAAAATATCTAAAAACTTTTTTTTGCTAGCATAAAGTAATGCTGCCACATTTATTCACTTGGTATTTCTCAAACATCTCCTGTGGATGGGCTCTGCACAAGTTGACCAACTGTAGACAAGTGAAAAAAAAAAACACACAAAAAAAATTGTTCTAAAACACCAGCAGCATCTAGGTGAAGGGACTTACCATACTATCCGAGTTCCATAATATTCGCTATATAAATATTATTCCCCCTCCTTCCTGCACTTCACCCAGCACCCTACAACTGTGGCACTTAGTTTTTTAATATAACAGGTGGTAGTCTTATTTTCACATGTCCTTGTTTCTGTTTCACCGGGTGCCTGTGCCTTCTGTGATCCAAGAACTAGTTTCCTTTTAGCTTTCAACAACATACAAAGACTCCCTAGACCTTCAGAGCACATTATTCTCAACAGAAAATCTTGACATGTGTAAAACTTTGAATATTTAGAAATGGCAAGTGTATTGCACCTTGCCAGTTCCTCAAATAGTTTATTTTACGGTCATAGAGATTCTGAGCTAATTCTTTTTGTCTTTGTTTTCCGTTTACCTGCACTTTGTATGTTGTTGAAAGGAGTAGCATTGGATGGCCCCTTCCAGCTCTGACTGCCAGGTATCTAAGCAGGAGGGAGGAGAGGGGCGGGGTCGAGGTGGAGCGACAGAAGCAACCCTCCCGGGCCCTGGGCAGGGCTAGCCACCCCATGCCCAACCTCCGTGGAACGCGGACAGCCACTTCGGACTCCCGTCTCAATGTTTCTTTATTGTGCTAAGACTGCTGCCTCAGAGTTCAGACCTCACACACACAACAATTCGTCCAGACAGACCCCCACCCACCCGGCCCCCGGGGCCCTCTGCTTAGGCTGGGGACTCCGGGCCTCCGGCCTCAGCCGCTCTAGGACACTCAGCCTCCTCCCTCCCTCTCCCCCGAACCTTCGGTCCCGGGGGTGAGGAGAAGGCTCGGGATCGCCTTCCTCCGCCCTCGCCCGCCCCCTCCCACTTTTGGGGAGGAAGCTCTGCCTCCCTACGCATTTCCTTATGGAAATACCTTCACCCTCAGCCGCCTGGCAGCCTGGGGCGAGCGAGGTCGGCCCCAGCCCCGACGTGTCCCCAGCTGCGGACAGAGAGCCCCGCGCCCTCCTCCCGGCCGGGGCGCAGCCCGGCCCGGCGCGCGCGCTCACACCAGGAGGCCGTTCTTGCACTGCACCGGCCCCTCGGCGCAGTCGGCCGGCTCCGCGCTCTTGACCTTGACGTAGACCGGGGAGGGGCCCGCTTCGCAGGCTGCGGCGGCGGTGCAGGGCGCCAAGGCCACGTTCTCGGGGCCACCGCAGGGCGGAGGCGCGTACTTGCGGCGCAGGGAGCGGCTGACGTTCTGCGTCGGGTACCCCAGGAGGTGGGTGACGCGGCTGCCGCGCCCGCTGGCCTTGCACCCGGGCGCCACGGCGTCCTCTCTGTGGAAAACAACAGGCGGGCGAGTGAGCTGGCTGCTCCGCGGCGCGGCGTGGGCACGGCCTGGGCAGAGCCGAGGGCTCTTGGCAACCTCTCGTCTCCCGCGCCTCCCTCCACCTGCCCTCGCCTCTCTCCACCTGCCCTCCTCTCTCCCTCGGCCTGGACCTACTCTCCTTTGTGCCCCTTCCTGGGTCGGCGACCCTGCAGCGGTCCGGGGGCCAGCATCCCCATCCTCCAGACAGGGCTTGTCCACGCGTATCTGGACAGCCCCGCAGGCAGCCCCCTCCAGGCCCCTCCAATCCCTTTCTGATGTTTCGCCGGCCGACCGCTTCAAATAGAGATCCAGAAGGAGCTGCTTTTCCTCTTCGTCTTTCCTTAGCTAACCCTGACCTTGTACGAGCAATCTCTCTCTTTCTCACATCCTGCCCCTCAGTCTTCTCCGTCTTTCCCTCCATCCCCGAGGCATTGCAATCATTAGCACTACTAGACTTGTTCTATTTTTATTTCTAGTTTGCTTCTAATATAAGTTATTAGCACTATTCTTATTATTAGTTCATCTTAAATAATCATGTCAGAGTTCTCACCGGCGCAGTACAGGGGAAACGTGAAAAAACATAGGCCCTGCCCTCCAGGAGCTTACAGTCTAGACAAGACAGACAGGTGCGTAGATAGGAGGGAAATGGAAGGCAGGGAGCAGAGGTGAAGACTAGGGTGGGAAAGGGAGGGAAAAGCCATGCGTTGGGTGGCAGGTCGACATGCCGCAGTCCCAGCACTCCGTGGCGATGGCGGGCAGGGTTGGGGTGGGGGGCCCAGCCGGCCGGTGGCAGGCAGGAGTGAGGTGGGCAGGGCGCCGGTTCCCTGCCGCACAGCAGCATGCAGCATGCATCAGGTTTTACCTGATCTCACTAGCCAAGTCGCCGCAGGCCCCTCCGCCGACCCCGCCGCCGTTGCCGTAGCCGAAGGCACCGCGGGCGCCGCCAGCCCCGGAGCCCCCGCAGCAGCAGCAGACGAGCCCCCAAATGCCTACGGCCAGGCAGCCCAGCGCGAGCAGAGAGCCCAGGATGGCGCCGATGATCACGCCTATACGCCGGGAGTCTGTGGAGAGAAGTGGAGGCAGGTCAGGCTTTCTCACAGCCTGGCAGGAGCCTGAGGGACCAGCACCAGGAGATGCCAGGGCAGGGGTTAGTGGGAAAGAGGGAGAGGGACCCAGGGGGACTCTTAGCCCTGGGACACCCAGTGGGGAAGATATGGGGAGATGCAAGTTAACCCCTTGTGTCAGAATGCTTCTCCCAGGGCTTCCAGCCGCTCTGGGCTCTAGAGCACAGAGTGAAAGCTGTGCTGGGAGAGGTAAGACCCAACTGGGTAGGGGTAATTGTACCCACTGACCTTGGCCCACTTGTAGGAGAGGGACTGGGAGCCCCCACTGGCAAATGGATGGCAGTGGAAAGGCAGAAGCAGCTAAGGCTCCAAACTAGAGCCCAGCCTCCTCCAGTTCAACCCTCCCAACCACCCAGCCCTCTAGACTGCTGCACCTACCTGAGACCTTTACCTCCACCACACAAACACTGTAGCCCACGTTGTTGGCCACTGTGCACTGATATAGCCCATCGTCTGCTCTGGAGATATCCTTCAACACCAGGTCCCCGTTGTTCAGGCCTGAAAGTGAAGTGCAGAAATACCTGGTCTCAGAGTTCACACCCCAACCTCAGTCCCTGTGGGGTGGGGGATGGGACACCCACTCCGGAAGAAGGGAAGACTTATGCATGTGTGTACGCCCACACACACACACACACACACACACACACTCCACTCTCCAGGTGAGTCACCTTTCCCCTGCTGTGAAAGAGATGCAAGAAAGGACCTCTCTCCCAGCAGCAAGACAGAGACACCATTAATTCACTCTGACCTTAGGGAAATATATCCTCTCTCTGAGCCTTGGTCTCCTTTGTACAGTGAGGACAGGGGAAGCCAGGGGAAGAGGAACTCTAAGGTTCCTCCTAGCTCTATTATTCTTTGTTTGACTGAATATTGTCAGCTTCTCTATGTACTGGGAGCTTTACACACCTCCCCCATTTAATGCTTTCATGACCATGAAAGGTATATATTAGTATTCCCTTTCCATATATGAAGAAATTAAGGCACAGGGAGGGTAAGCCACTTGCCTTAGACTTGGAGCCAGTCAGTGTCCCAGCCAGGATTCAAGCCCAGCTCTGTCTGAGACCATGCTCCCTCCAAATTCACCATAGTACTTTTGACTGACTCTCCACATTTGCCTTATCATCTCCTCTCAATAGCAGCTGCTGGGCCAGGCATGGTGGCTCACACCTGTAATCCTAGCACTTTGGGAGGCTGAGGTGGGCGGATCACCTGAGGTCAGGAGTTTGAGACCAGCCTGGCTAAAATGGTGAAACCCCATTTCTACTAAAAATAAAAAAAAATTAGCTGGTTATGGTGGCACGTACCCATAATCCCAGCTACGTGGGAGGCTGAGGCAGAAGAATCACTTGAACCTGGGAGGCAGAGGTCGGAGTGAGCCAAGATCACACCATTGCACTCCAGTTTGGGCAACAAGAGCGAAACTCCGTCCCAAAAAAAAAAAAAAAAAAAAAAATAGCAGCTGCTGGGGTAGGCCCAGAGGGAGGGTCGCCCACAGGGGATTTGATGGCACTGATAACCCAAGGAAACCCCAACAGATCCCAGAGTCCCCGATCTTCCATTCATCCCCACACTACCCTCGCCCAGTGCCCTCTCACCTTGGTTTATGGAACTGTGGAAGGACTCCTGGTAGGACAACTCAGAGTGGTAGCTGTGCTGGGAGGTGTAAGACCCAGCTCGATAGGGGTAATGGTGCCCACTGATCTTAGCCCACTTGTAGGAGAGGGGCTGGGAGCCCCCATTGGCATAGCACTTCAGTACCACATCGTTGCCATGTGTCATGTGGCCCTCAGTCCAGCACATGGGCACTGCAGGTCGTGCTGCAAGGAGGCAGACAATGGTAAGCCAGGGCCCAGCCAAGAGACAGAGCCAGGCTCAAGGTGGCCAGGCTGCCCTTGGCTCTGAAGCCAGGGAAAGAGGAGCTCAGAGGAGTCTGGCCATACCTTGGACAGTAACAATGACCTTCCGGGTGGCCATGGTGGTCTTCTTCACCCGGCACTCATAGGTGGCTGTATCAGATACCTGCAGGTTCATGAGGTTGATGGAGGCATCGTACTGGCTTGGGTCTGAGGCTGCAAAGCGGACCCTCTGCTGCAGATGGGGAAGGTTGCCATGGTTGATCCTCTTGTCCTGATAACTAAGGAACTGTGAAAAGAAGAGGAAAACAGGTGGTGAAACAGGCAGGGCCAAGGAGGGCCATGTGGGTTGGCTGCTTTGGGCAATTCACTGAACTTCTCTGAGACTCTGTTTTCTCAGCTGAAAAAAATGAGAATAATGATGCCTGAGCCACTGACCTCTTACAGAACTGGTGAGATCAGGTGAGATCAAGCACTTGGAAAAATATATGGTCAGACTGGGAACTTTTTGAAGGCAGAGACTACACCTTATCTTCCCTTTAGAATGGGATGGGAGGACATAGACTGACTGGCTAGCTTAATTCACAATTGCAGAGCTCTCATCCCCATTGCCTCATTCCCTGAGAGGCCTTGGGGGAGGTTCAAAGTCAGTCTTCTCCCCTTGGGATGTTGGCTGTCCAACAGGTAGACATCATGAAGCACAGAGGAAGGAGATCCCTGTGCCCAGCACTCACCACGTTCTCTCGGTGGTGGGCGGGGTCTGAGTTGACCTGCATCCACTCGATGTCCAGCCCATTGGGACCATAGTCCTCAGGGTCCAGGACGTAGGGGCAGCCCAGCCTCACATTATCACCTTCTGCCAGGTACAGGACCTCCTGTCCATCCCCGTTGATCCGCACAGCAGACAGCAGTGCTAGGGGGAGGGCAGAGAAGATGGGGTGGTAGGAGCAGAACCAGGGCTTCAGGAGGAGTCAATGTCAGCCCTTCCCTTCATATTCTCTGTTCACTGCACCCAGAGGTCAGGGGTACTTTCATAAAAAGGAGGGCTGCTCTTAGTGGGTGTGTATGTGTGTGGGCATGAATTGTCTTAGGCATATAGCAGCTATACATATAGCTGTTATATATGTAGCTGTTAGGTATGCTTGTATGTATATATGATTATATGCATGTATGAATATGTACACATGTGTACATTGTATGCTTATGAGTATTTGTGATTGCTTATGTATACTATGAGGATATTCATGTACATGACCTTCTAGCGTGTCTGATTATATATTTATATGATAGTGTGGATGTGTTTGTGTGTGTGTGAAGGCATGGAGTACACACAGAGTTGTTAAATGCTCTGATGGAAGAGCCCGGCTGATTAAATGTCACCTATCTGGGCTCCGTCTGGGCTGAGTGAACTCCTCGTGTCCAGAGACAGCAGGGTGGTTACAATGGCTTCTGCGACTCCTTTTCAGCCTGAGAAGCCAAAGACTAAGTGTGTCTATGTGTATCTGTGCATGACAGCGTGTCTGTGGCTGTATGCCTCTGTGTGGTTTTGTACAGTGACGTGTGACCATGTGAGGCTATGTAAGTGCTTAAATGTGACAGTGTGTGCTTGTGCATGACAGTGGACAGCTGTGACCAGGAGCCTGACTGTGTCCATGTGTGATAGTGAGTGATGGTGTGCACCTGGGACTATGGCCACAGCTATCTGTAGGACATTGTGAGCCTTTCTTGACTACACAGCATTGTGGACTGTGTGTGTTTCCTCTTATGTGATTGTGTGGCTCACATGCAGCCGCCCCCACAAGCTGGCTCCCAGTGAGGCCCCTCCTGCCACTGAGTCAGTGGCAGGCAATCCTGGGTGAGGAGCTGGGATCCCAGGACCCAGGAGCTCGGGACTGAGCTCTTGTCCCTCCCTACCCTGAAGCCCCAGGCAGGCCTATCCCCAACCGGTTGGACCTAGAGAAGGATAAGACTGGGGGGGGGGGCGGGCGTAGCCAGGGCCCCACCCTGGACACTCTGCACTCCACCTCCCAGTCTCCAGCAACCCTGCCTCTGCAGGCCCCTCACCAGGCCTCACACACTCTCTGTCTGCGTTCTTTTTTGAGTCAATATGTCTTCTGGAGTCACAGCCCCAGATCTCAGCAGTCATTCTGTTCTGTCATTCTGTGGCTCAGGACCACATTTACACATAGAGATCTCACACGTACACACACACAATTACACCGTCACGGGCAAACAAATTGATACATGGCCCACTGTTACAAGCCTTCAAAATGCAGATACATACCTATGTGACCCCATCTTCCTACACACACAGACACTATTAGATTCATACAGACACAGACACAATCTGCACACAAACGCAGAACATATTAATTCAAAAGACACACCCACCGTGTGTTCATATAGTCCTTGTGTGTGTTCACTCAAGACCAGACATATCCATGGAAACCCTGCCAGGAAGGCTTAGCCTGGCTCCAGAGAGGCCAGCAAGGGCCCTCTCGACACATTCAACACCTCAGGGATCCCTGAACTTCCCCGCTAGGAACACTGGCTGGGTCATCAGCTCTGTCCTAACCCAGCTAGACTCCAAGGTGACCCAGAGCAGGCAGGCTGACTGCTGGGGCTGTAACGGGACCTGGTGATGCCTCTACAAGCTCCAGGCCAAGAGAACAACAGCTCATTCCTGAGATAAGGATCCTGCTGCCATCTGCCAGATCCTGAGGCGGCTCAAGACAAGCCAGGGATGAACCAGAACTCGGCTGAGAGCAGAGGCTCCACCCTGGAGAAGCACCGCTGGAAGCACCCACGCAGGGAAGGACTCTCCATGCCATAGGAGCCTGCCAGGCAGAAGGGTAAGCATTCTGGGAGAGGGGCTTGGGAGGGAGCGACAGTGCAAGAAAAGCACCTCCACCCTGCACCAGGCTGAGAGCTTCTTCAATTGTCCCAGGTCAGGGAGCCTCTCCCGGCTTTTCTATCTCCTTAGAAGTCTTCTCAACCTCCTCCCAAGGGTTCCAGCCTTTTCTCACCCCTCCCTCTCCTTGGGAGGTTGTTCCTAATGTCTCACCTTGATTCCTTTTGCTGCAGCACTAAGGAAGTACTATAGGGAATGAGAGAGGAGAGCCCGGAGAGAGGGAAGAAAGGCAAAGTGGAAGAGAGAGCTGGATGGGAGACTTGTGGAGAGACAGGAATGGAGGAATCACAATGGACTCTCCAAGGAAGAGGACAGTGGTGACTTCTTGCCCCCACAAAAGCTGGCCATGCTTTATGGGGTGTCATCTCAATAGTGGTGCCTACTCTCTGCTTGTAAATTCTTTCGGAATCTTCAAGGTGCTTCCAGAACTCCTGACCCTCCCTCTGGAGGTAAGGGAGGGGAGAAAAGGCGGCTCCAGCTGAGGGTATTGATGTGTTAATGCAGCCAGCATTGAGTTGTCCTCACACACCCACTGACACACCATACAGGGGGAAGTCCAGGTCCCCACAGCACAGCTGGAGCCTGCGAGTGGACTTTGCCAGCCCTGCTCTCACCAGACAGAGAGGGGCTGCAGCTATCCTGCCAGAAATGTCCTCATTCCCACACAGGCACACACACCCACACACTCACATACACATTCACGCTCACACAAAGGCTGAAAATGTCGCCCTGTCTTCCCACATTCCTCCTTCATGCCCCTTCACCCCAAATCCAGACCGCAGGAGGGACTCAGCCATTTCCAGCCATGTCAGCATAGAATGTCCCTTGGTGGAACTTGCCCCAACCTGAGCAGGAAGCCACAATGTCCAAACTTGAGCCCTGCCCTGTGGACCTGTCCCGGTGGGGTGAGAAGTCTCTGGAGTTGCCATCCCCGCCACCCTCAGGCCTCATCCTGGAGTGGGGCACGGCCCTCCCGTAGCACAGGGTGCCCAGGGCTGTGATCTCAGGCCTGAGCTCTCACTGGCCATGAAGGAAGCAAGCACTCAGACTTACATCAGCCTTAGTCTCTTGCCCTTTCAAGGCAAGCGACTCCCCTGCCCCTTGGCCCTGGCCTTAGGAGAGAAGGAGTAGTGCTGGGAATAGCACACAGTCTGATGAAAATTGATCCTTCCCAAGCTCCTCCTGAGCCCTCACCCAATGCCCGTGCTCACCTCCCTCCTACCCCACCTCCAGCTCCTGCAGAGCAATCCATCCCTCTCCTCCTATTCACAGCACAAGTTTGCAGGGCACCTGCACACATGTGTGAGCCCAACAGGGGACACATAAAGATCCACTCAAAGACCTCCACACCACAGACACCCACCCTGAACCTCAGGCACAGGGTCTCCTGGGGAGAGGTCCCCTGGCAATACCCACACCCGGCTGCAGCAGGGCAAGGGTGGACAGCACTCTGCCAGGCATCTCAGGCAGCCCCAGGCTCTGCTGTGAGCCCTCACTGCCCCTTTCCTGTCCACTTGGCTTCATGCTGGCTATCCCTGCCCCCTGCCCAGCCCCGTACCTGGGCTCAGGCACACGAGTAGAAGGTGGAATGCTCCTCCAACTCCCATGTTTCTAGACTCGGTGTTTCCTCCTCCTGGGCTGGATATCCCGTGGGGTCGTGGTGGTGGGTGTGAGGGGGTGGGTGGAGGGGGGGGAGCTGAGGGCCCAGACACGGCCCGGGGTGGCAGGAAGGTGCAATGAGTGACCAGCTGGGGAGCAGCCGGAGTTATTTCTATGGGAGGGAGGAGGCCTGGTCCCCGCCTTGGGGAGGAGTCCCAGGAACCCTAATTAGCGGGGTGACAGGGTGGCCTAGCTGGGCATTACTGAGTCCTCACCCAAGCTCTTCCCTGTCCTAAGAGTGGCACAGGATAGCCAGCGGGACTTGTAATTAGGCACCTGTTAAACTTCACTTCCTCCTGGCCACATCCTCAGGGTGACAACAGTCACCTCATTTACAGCTTCCAAGGGCTCCCCTCACCACTCATTTGCTGCCTCCTTCCCTGGGGGAAGTGGGGAAGAGGAAGGAGAAGCCAGGCTTGGGAGGAAGAGTGGCCAGGCTCTGAAGAGTTAATCCTGATCCCAAGGCATAGGGTTCCCCAGGAATGTCCAGCCCACCTTCCCCCGAGGCTTCAGGCCTTTCAAATGGAGTCAGGCCTCCTGAGCTGAAAGAGGAGAGAAGGGGTATGTGCAGGAACAGAGTCTCCTCCTAGCTGTCCCCTCTGGAAATGTCCTCCGCACCCATACCTGACTCAAGGCCATCCCCAAGTGTAGGGGACCCCTGGGAGCAGGGGTGCTATGGGGGATTCAGGGTGTGTGGTAGGAGTAAGGTGACTGATGAGCTAGTGAGGGAGTGTTGGAGAGAACAGTGCCAAGAGGACCGGGGAAGGGGGTGCCAGTGTAGGCGTGTGCACCCCTCAGCAATGTGTCTGTGAGAGGGAGGCAGGATGTCTGTGCCAGGGTGTCTCTGTGAGCATGGCTAAGCCCCTCTGAGTGAACTTCTTGAGGGATCGCTTGGTGTCTTGGCTTCTCTGCCCAGAAAGAGTGGCCAGGTCTTGAAGGTTAATGCAATCCTAGTATTAACTGGGTCCTTGAGACCAAGGACCCTCACAACCTGGACTGGTCATTGGGCTGACTAAACCAGCACAGTTCTGGGTAAGTTGGCGCTGGGGTGGGGAGGGTCCTGGTAGGCATGGGGAGCAAGGGGAGGGCCGCCCTTGTTGGCTTGTCTGAGGGGGACAGAATGGGCCTGTGCCTCACTGGACTCCATGGTAGGAGTCAGGACATGAGTGATCCCATTCAATAGCTTGACTCCCTCAAAGGAGTCAGGGACTGCCCCCATCCCTACCATGGGGCACAGAAAGGGCAGAGGAGGAAGAGTGTTGGGGAGAGTTATGGGGCTCAGGGATGCTGCCAGGGCCCACCCCTCTGAGGAAAAATATGACAGAACATTAAGGAAACACAAGGAGTCCACGCGTCTCTGCATTCCAAGCCCTTGCACCTGAACTCCCAACAATAACAGGGCACTCTGAGACCTACCAGATGTACGCAATGAATATCTTCATTTCCTTATTTATTTTTAGGTTTATGGGATTGTCCTCCTCCCTTTGAAGAGCAGGGATCATTATCCCCATTTTACAGATAGGGAAACAGAGGCCTGAGAAACATGGGATTCAGCCAATGCGGCTGGTGCCTAAGCTGGGATACCCAGGTACCCAGGGTGTCAGTCCAGAGTGTCCAAAAAATGGTCTTGGTGATCCTGTGGATTACTAGACCCACTCACGAACAAGAACCATGGAAGGTCAGGGTGAGTGGGAGGGAAAACAGGTGAGACCACGAACAGAGAGATTGAGGAGAAAGCAGTAAGGTTGTGGTTCCACTAAACTACAGTGCAGGCTTGGGATTTAATTGGGTTCTGGATGTGGGCTAATGTTAGAATTGGGGTTAAGTTTGGGGTTAGTTGAATTATGAATGAGGTTGAGGTCAGATTTGAGGTTGGGATTAGAGTTAAGGTTGGGATTAAGGTTAGAAATACAGCTAGAATTGAGGCTCGGGTTTATGGCTGGGGTTGTGTTACGATAAGGAATAGAGTTTTAGTTTCATTTAGAGCTCTGCCTGGGAATACAGTTAGGGCTACATCAAAGGCTGGGTTTAGATTTATTTAGGATTGGGGTTATAATTGGGTTAGAACTGAGTTTGAGATTCATGTTGAAATAGGCTGTGGTTAGGATTGGAACATGGTTCAAAGACACGTAAGCAGCGGGAGTTGGTAGGGATCAAAGATGAGGTTTTATTTCTAATATAGAAAGACTTCAGCCTCCATCTGCTAAATCCAGGTTTGGCTAGAATTTTCAACCCTTAGTGCAGGGAGACTACTAGTAGCACATGTTGATTAGGGTCCCAAGACTTGGAGGAGGAAGCCAAACGTACACAAGCCCATCTAAGGGGTATGAGACAACTAAATCCCATACGGAATGGACGCCCTGAAGTCCTGCTCCACGACTAAAGCTCACCACCTGGCCAAGCTCCAGGAAAAGCATTTGGGGAGGAGACATGGGAAGCTATTGACAATGAGTGGGGCTCTGACGCCAAACCAAACTAGAAAATGGGGACCATCAGAGGGAGTCTTACTGACTGGGGAGGAAGGGTGGTCTGGATTTGGAGTCCTCAGGAGATGGGACTTGGGAGAAACTGAGGGTCTACATGCTCCTAGAACAGCCACTTTACGGGGCACCACATGGGGATCTTTCAAAGCCTGAAAGGGCCGAGTGCCATTGTTGTTCCCCCTTGACTCTCTGAGGCTTAATTGCTACCTCCTTGCAATTTGAGTCCTGTAAAAGAAGCTGTCAGCCTTCTAGCCCTATACCCTGAGCCCTGCAGGGTTTTCGGGGAGGGCAGTGGTGGGGAGGCTGTGGATGGGGTGAAGGCACTGGGATGTCAGCATAGTTTCCAAAGCATATGTCGCAGCCCCACAGTCCTCTCCCTCTGTGAGAACACCAGCTCGCAGTCCGTGTTTCTCTCTGGGCCGTATCCTCAGCAGTGGAAGAGGGCCCCACTCCTAGGAAGATCCCTATCCCAACTCCTCCCTCTCATTTTTCCCCAGCCAGTCTCCACCCCAAACCTCTCATTTCCCCACCCACTTCCTTTTCAAGTTTTATAAAGGTCTGGTCGAGGAGACTACTGGGGTTCCCCCTGTGACCCCAGAGAGAGAGAAGAAAGAGATTGGGAGAGATAGTGATGAGTTAAGGGGCAAAGACAGAGACTGGGACAGAGACAGACAGAAAGACACATGGTCTAAATGGCCCCTCCGGAGACTCAGAGGGAGACAGAGGAGGCAGAGCGCCCAGGCCACGAGCTGGGAACCAACACAAATTTCCGAAAGGGCCCCTTGCTTTTTCCTGAGAAATCCGTGACTCTCCAGGGAAGAATGGCCCTGGTTTGACTGGTATTTGCTTCTATTCTAAGACAATAACAGAAAATCAAAGACGGGCCTAGAAAGGAGTAAACAGGGAGATACAGGAGGTAGGAAGAGGCTGGACAAAGTCTCAGAGAAGGCCACAGACTGCTTCCAGTATGAAGTGCAGCCCAGCCCCAGAACCTTTCAGGGAAGGACAGGCAGAGGGCTTGGGCTGCCTACTCTTCCTCCAAAGCCTATTCTTCCTCCAAAGTCCCTTTCACAGCAACTCCACCCCAGCCCTCTAAGCCCTGCCCTTCCCTGCCTGGACTTGCCCACCCCAACCCCTCTCACTAGCCGCCAGACTCCCTGGGCTCAGGCTCAATCAAGCTCCCCACAACCCCTTCCTTGGCTGGCACTGCAATTTGACTCTTTCTAAACTCCTCCCTACACAGTCAGCAAGCTCCTCAGCCCCCTCTCTCAAGTCCCCGTGTAGCGCAGGGCTCACCCTGCAGCACCCAGGGAGGAGTTGTCCTGCAGAGGAAACCTCTGAGGTAAGACTCTGGGAGCAGAAGCTGTGAGTGACAATGGATAGGCAAAGAGTCACAGAGAAGCCAAGGAGCCTTGCAGCTGCTGTCTGTCCACCCAGCTTTCAGTGACGATTTGGAGGTGGAGGTCTGCCAGGTGAGGCCATGGTTGCATGAGAAGGGCAGGGGGCTCAGAGGTTGCATGGGTGGTGATGGGACAACATCGAGTTCTGGTTACAGAGAGGGATGAGATCAACATGTGGGGTTAAGTTTGAGGGTGTGGGTTGGGTTCGAGACTAAGGCTCAGATCAAAGCTGGCAGGGAAGAGCTGTGAACACAGGTGACACAGGGACACCCCAAGCCCCTGCTCAGGTTTCCCAAACCTCAATGGTTCTGACTGGTACACTTCAAAAGAAGTAGGATTCTAGGAGGAGCCTGGATATGCCCACATCTCTCCCATCAAGCAATGTCCTGAAGCTGACAGACTCAGAAGAGCAAGCAGCACACACATAGTCCCCATCAATTAAAGGAGTGGCCGGAGCTGTCACTACATCAACAAAGCACAAGAGCAAAGGGAGGCAATTGAATGCCACCAACTGAACTGTTAGCAAGAGAATGAGTGGAGGCAAGAAGAAATCGCTTGTAAAGGGTATGTGATTTCCTGATGACAGATCTGAGGAAGAATGAAGAGACTTTGCAGATATAGGTATCTTCACCTCGCCAAGATCAACCACATCCTGCAGAACCTTCATTCATTCAGCAAACAGCTGGGCTTTATGCTAGGCCCTGGGGAAATGGCAATTAAGGAGACTCAGTCTCTATCCTCACAGAGCATCTCATCTGATAGGGAACTAGCTCCTGGCCTGCAATGTGGTAAGCTGCAGTAATACGTGCAAGGACTCTGACCTAGTGGCAATGATGTTTGAGCCGAGATCTGAAGGATAACTAACAACAGCGTGCCAGAGAAAGGAGTAGGGGGTGGAGAGAAGTGGCCAGGGGAATATTTCTGGGCTTGGTAAGTAAGCCAGGTCCCTGCTAGACATGGCCTGAGAAGAGCAAAGCCAGGAGTGATAGCTGATGATTATTTTTTAACTGAGGAAGGAAGATCCTTGAGAACAGAACCCCTTGGGACCTTCTACCCAGAACACCAGAGCACCTCACAGGGATCAGAGCCAGGCCCTCAGGTGGATTAAGCAACTAAAATTGATTGTCCTGAACCATGAGTCTGTCTGTTTATGGGGAAAGAAACTTTGTGATGAATTAATCCACAGGTCCAATGGGACTTTGACCTTTTAATTTGCAGAAATAAAACTTGCCTTTGATTTTGCCATCTGGATTCCCCAAATACATATCCACAGAGGGGAACTGTGGTACCCCTTGACCTGCAGGGTGGCCCCAGGCCTGCCTTGCTCTACTGGCAGTTGCCCAGGAAGGTGTGTGGGAGTTAGCAGGCGTCAGTACGAAGCTGCAGCTGGTGTGTGTCTTGTTCAGAGCCTTTCTCACAAAGCTCGTCCTGACCAATCCTTGCTCTGCCCTCTGTGTTTGTTTCCTGTTGCCTAGACACTAGGATAGAAGGAGTCAAGGGGAAGGTGGTGCCACAGGGGTGGGGCTCATAGGCAACAGAGCTCTGCTAGGGCTGCAGGGACAGCGGAAGTATTACCTGGCAGGAGAGTAGCAGGCCCAGCCCAAGGGATAAACTTGAAGATTCCCCATTCTCCCAGTTTCCTCCTCTCCCTGAAATGCTCAGGAGAGTCCTGTGTTTCTAGAATGACAGGCATTTCCCCTCAGAGTCAGGATGCATAGCAGCCAGGGTAGGAGATAGCTGAAGAAATATCATGTAAAAGGAGTCTGGCCCTGCCTTGTGTGGTCCCAAAGAGCAGAGCTCAGTCCATGCGTTGGATACACAGGAAGACACATTGACTCAATATTAAGAACCTTCTGGGCATCAGGGCTTATCTGAGATGGTTTGGGTTGCCTTTTGAGGTAGTGAGTGCCCTGTCTCTCAGGATGTACAAGCTCAGATTGTCCAACCACTTGACTAGAGTTTGCAAAGGATATTCAAGCATCAGAGGGTCTTTGGGGTCCCTTTCTGCTTTGAGATTCTAAGATTTGGTGCCCATCTCCACTACACAGGGACTGTCTTTCCCAGGGACCATGCAGGAAAGCTCATTGGCTCTGGACAGTTTCTTCCAGGCCCCGCTCTTCTGCTCCCCACTTCCATTCACCCGCTTCTGACTCTTCTTTCTGGGAGTCTCCTGAGAAAACCCTCTAAAATCTCAACCCTACTCTTGCCCAGCCTCAAAGTTATCAAAAAGTATTGAGATGATGACTACCCCTTTCTTAAGAGGACATGGGTGAGAATTCAAAAAGAAACATGGAGCTTGCACCTCAAGGAGAATTTCCCAACTGGGAGGGGACAGGTTTGGGGGACAGGACTGTGGGAAGGTCTGAGCTATTTAAGCCAGACAAATCAAGAATAACTCTACGGTGTCAGAAATGAGGACCTTCCAGGTAACCTTGGCATGATTTCCCCTGACATATCTCAGAGTCTGGTAGGGGAGGCAGGTTGCCGTAGGCAGCAGCCCAGGAGGGGAAGAGACCTATGGTCTGCAGTGAGCCATCTGCTTCTTCCACAGTTCTCCACCAGGCTCCCACTCTTTGCAGAAGCAGCAGTTAGGAGGAGAGAGAGTGAGAAACAGAGTGAGGAGCTCACTGTCCCCGAGTCTCCACAGCCTACAAATCCAGACTTCTTGTCTGAGGCTCCAGCGTCTCCTTCCACCATCACCTAAACCACGGTCACTCTTCCTCACCCTGAAAGCCCTGTCTGTCTTTGAACTCTCTCAGCCCCTTTCATCTGAGCCTAATCCAAATGCTTTTACTGAGACCAAGTCATGTCCAGCTGTGACTTGAGTCTTTCAGGGGTAGTAAAGGACATCCCAGCACCCCACTGAGGAAGGGACAGCATGGCTTAGCCACCAGGGCAGCTGCTGAGTCACATCCAGCTAGAGCCGCTTCTGCAGCAGATACGAAAGTACTGAGATGCCTCCAACCCACAACAGGATGTGGTGTGGGCAACAGGCACATGTGGGTGGGTGGGACATAGAGCCCAGCCAGGAGCCAGGAGGCACATGCCTGGGAGGCAGCTGCCTGCAAATCTGACTCAGTGCCCCAGCAGGGAGCCCAACCCCTGGATTCTCTAGAGTGGACTAGTTCAGTCTGACATCATAAGGGCTGGAAGACCCCCAAGGCAGAAGACAGGGGGCTGGGAAGTCCACGGGAAGTTAATATGTACCTTTATACATAAAATAATGTAAAAAGTAGATGTGAAAAGATCAGATGCCCATATAACAATGTCAATAATCGTGTTGGCAATTAAGAAAAAAGGCTTTATGTTAACAAAGACAATGCAGCAAACTGCATTTCCTACTTATCTCTTACAGCCTCTCACACAGCCCTGTGTTGGTTCAGTGGCTTAGGGAGTACACAGAGCTCACCATCTACCCCTTTGAGCATGAGAAGGAGAAAACTGAAACCTCCTCAGCAGAAAGCACCCCACTGAAGGTCCAACCTCTAGTAGCAAGACTGAACCTAGGAACCCACTAGAGTCCTCAAAAGAATGCCCATTTTCTCTTTGTCTCCAGGCCCTAGCCTCACTCTGCAGGCTAAGCTCACACAGTGTCCTGCTGGGTCTGCCACTACTATCATGCAGCCTAACCCCACCAGCCCCCACTTGACGCCAGGAAATTTCTCTGTAATTATCCCCACTGCCATTCCTGAATGAGATTGGTAGAGGGTTTATAAAAGATTGCCCAGATGTAGTTGACTGGCCTCAGATCCCAACTGCCTGCCCAGCTCTCAAGAGTGTCAGGCATCTTAGAACTAGTTTCTTACTGGTTCAGACTAGCTCTGGAGCCCATGAAAGCCTGGGTGTGACTTCTTAGGAATCCCAAGAGAAGAAATTGAACCTCTCTTCCACTTCATGGGCCAATTCCAAGATGGAGAACTCCTGATGAGAGTGGAAGGGTCAACCCTGGGGCAAAGCCCTGAGATTCTCTCCCAAACCATCTTCGCTTGCTCAGAAGCGGCTATATTCTCTCTTCTCCAAAGCCAGCCTTTATTTACGTAACCTATAACTGCCCCTGTGTCCAGGCCCAGTCAAGACAGTCTCACTCACTTTTAGTAAAGCTTTGGGATCTTCCAGGACCCAAAGACCTATATTTTCACCAGCAGCAGCTCTGGTCAAATGCTGGCCTTACTTTCAACCTGTGGTGTTGGCCCATTTTTGTCTAAGTGGGCTCAGAAGTTAGCAGTGGGTGTGGAATCCCCTTTCTCCTCAATCCTTTCTCCACAGTGGCCCATTTTTTCCAGCTCTGAGATAGATGACTTAGGTGTGAGACTAAGCAAACTCTAAGCACCCAGGATTTTTCTGGCTTTCCTGGGAAAGAATATCTCCTGAACTAGGCAAAACCTTGTTCCCTGGTCCCTGCAGCATCAGCTAAGCAACAGGTGATGCTCAGAACCTTTGCCAGTGTGCCAACTGCAGACGAGTCCCGGAATCCTCAGCGGCATTGCCATGTCTTCTCTCCCATCCGAGGCTGGGTACCACATCTTCTCAAGACCCCTAGGGAGCAAGGCCTCATCTTCTCTAGGAAGGAGGGTTGCAGTTAGGGGTGCCAAGCAGGGACGGTGAGCAAACCTCTTTCCCAAACATTTGGTGGGGCGGGGCAACAATCTTTCCTAGTGGGAAAGGTGGAGAGGGCGCCTGGGGAAGCTGTAGCTGTCCAGAGGAAAAGGAAGCACAGGAAACAGCTTACCGACTCTCCCTGGGCCCCATGAAAAGAGGACTCTTGCCTGAGGCTCTCGTAACCTGGAGTTGTAAACACCAGGACGCACCCAGCAGCTTCCTTGACCCCTCTGGTGCAGGGCCCATCAAGGAAGGCAAGACTGGGCTCTGGATTTGAGAGATGAAACCGTCCCCAGGGGTAGAGAGGTACCTCATCATCACAGCAGCTGGAGGAAAGCCCTTTCCCCTAGCATACAAAAACAGGGACATGGCTCCATCCCTAGAAGCTAGCAGTCCAGCCCCAAAGGAGCACCTGACAACCAAGTGAGAGGCCAAAAAGGCAGAGATGATGCCAAAGGTACAAGAAATTTGGTGGAGGCAGCTCAGGGGAGAAAACAGGAGCAGACTGACATAAATGAGAGGCTTCTTAGGGGGCAGCGAGGTCTGTTGTGCTCAGTGCGTGCCTGGAATGTACCTGGCATGTAGTAGGCACTCAGTAAGTATCTGAATAAGTGAATGAATGATGAAAGTATAGTTTGCGGCAAAGTGAGAGAAGTTAAAAACAGATGAAAATTGTTTGGGAGCCCCACCTATGGGAGTGAGGTCGACTGAGGAGAGCCCAGCCACAGGAGCGGCTGAGTTCGGGTGAGGGGACTGGACTGGCAGGGTGGGGAGTGCAGGGCTCTCGGTGTGCCCTAGTAGGGGATGGGCCAGTGTCTGTGTTGCAGCATTGCCTGGAATTGAAAGGGTTCTGGTGGGAGAGAGCTGAGACGGGCACAGTGAGCCCCAGGTTCAAACATCACTCCCTCCACAGATGTGATCTGAGTCATGGGTGTGATCCTAGTAAGAGCCCTGCCTCACCCGGCCCTGGTGCCTCCTTCACCAGCTCCACCTGGCCAAGCCTTGCCCCAGCCCCTCCCTGAGAGGCATCTGTAGCTGTGCCTCAATGCCCTAAAATGCTTCTGAACTGGGCGTCAGGGTGGAGCAGAGACAAGATTGTGCTGAAGGTTCACATCCCAGGGAATCACAAAAAGGCCAGGAGATACCAGGACAAAGGGACCTCCTGGCTTAGGAGAAACCATCATAGAAGCATCTTCCCATTCCCTTACCCTCAGCACCACGCCACCCACACTCGGGTCCCCTACAACCTATTTTACTCCACTTCAGTACCCTGTAGCAGCCACATTCCCACAAGAAAGCCAAGCTGCTCCTTAGAGAAGTCAAATAGATTTAATCTGTAACTATGAAATGTCTAGGTTAGCAGCAATTACAGACACCCAGAAACTGGGCAGAATCTGTCCCCCGAAGGCATCCTGAAGGCCACGAAGGCTCCCCTTAGTTCACAGAGGTAGCTGGCAGGATGTTAGCTTTGCGCTCAGCTTCAATGCAGTACTTCTCGGGAAGGCCAGTGGCTCTGCCGGGGAAATGCAGGCAGGTATAAGGAAAGGTGCTGGACCAGACAGGAGGCGGGAGGAAGCAGGTTCTGGGTGGGGTTTACAGAACCTGGAGGACTGCATCCCCCAACACTGCTCTCATAATCCACCACCGAAACATACATTCATGCCAAGGCTCTAGCATCCTGCCAAGGAGTTCCCAGAGAGCCAGCAAGACCCCATCCCAGGACTTTCTGCTGGAGCCCCCTTCTGAGGGATGAGGCCTGGGTGGGGAGAAGGGCCTCTCCCTGAGCATCTCTGCCGTGGCCTTTCACCACCAAATCCCATGCTTTCCAGCCTGTGGTGCCATCTCTTTGGGGGAGGGAGGAGGATCTGGGGAAGGAGGAGATTACAGCGCACCTCAGCTCTTCAAGCTTTTTCCTCTTGATGTCATCGATGCGCTCACGGCGTTTCTGGGCCTCCTCTTTGAGGCGCCGGCCCTCCTCAAAGGTGGCAATCCGGTTCTGCACCTGCTTCTGCTGGTTCTCTCGCACCTGGCGCCGGAGCTCGTTGGCATGCTGTAAGCGCCCTGTGGCCTTTTTCTCCTCCTCCAGCCGCTCCTTCTCAATCTGTTCTCTCTGAGCCCTGGGGGAAGGAAACAGGAATGCAATGAACTCAGCTGAGCTGACCCAGGCCAGGAAAAGTGGTGGGGGAGCCTCCTGGGTGGGCTCCTCCAGTAGACATGCCTCAGAGACCACAGCCCTCTGTGCTCCAGCCCCATTTGGTAACTCAAAGATCAGCCCCAGAAGCTGCTGCCCATGCATCCCCCCTTCTCCCACCCAGCGAGAACTAGCTCCAGGGTCGCATGACTGGATGTCATGGGCATGCTTAGAAAGGCCCCCAGTTTGGTTTGATGCTCTGCTTTCACTGTTTTGAAATTCTTAAAAATTTTTGAACAAGGGAGTCCACACTCTCTTGCTCTGTCACCCAGGCTGGAACACAATGGTGCTATCATAGCTCACCGCAGCCTCAACCACCTGGGCTCAAGTGATTCTCCCACCTCAGCCTCCCAAGTAGCTGGGACCACAAGAGAGTGCCACCACACCCAGCTAATTTGTTGTTTATTATTTGTAGAGATGAAGTCTCATTATGTTGCCCAAGCTACACATTCTTAATTTTCACCGGGCCCTGAAAATTATGTAGCCAGTCTTACACCCAGGGTTTCACCCACTGGGAGCTATTGTTCCTACTTCTCCCTGATAACAATGCGTAACTCCTCTCCAGCATATTCTGAGATTTCTTCTCTCTCCTTCCTTCCTTCCTTCCTTCCTTCCTTCCTGCCTGCCTGCCTGCCTGCCTGCCTGCCTGCCTGCCTGCCTGCCTTCTTCCTTGCTTCCTTCCTTCCTTTCCTGCCTCCCTCCCTCCCTCGATGCTTGGAAACGTAAAAGATGCGGTAAAGTGTCATGCTAACTCCACCCTGGTTAGTGGAAGAAGGAAGGAGCTCATCCTGATATCTCTCAGTTCTCTTCCTGATCCACCTCTCCAAATTTCCCTTAGAAACCTCTTCCACAAAAATACTTCATGGACCGTGACATCAGGGAGAAAATCACTAATGGCAACAGGAAAGGCTTAGAAAACACTCAAATGAAATGCATTCACATCTCAGAAAAATAATGCATTTATAGGCCTTCTTAAGCTAACATCTAATTTTGTTCTCAACATAATTTTAAAAATGAAATGTAAAATCATCTTAGGCAGGAATTTCTCACCTGCTCTCCTCCCCTAGAGTCACTGATACCCCAACAAAAGGTACCTACAACACTGCTTCATTTCCTCATTTCCCTCTAGCTTTCTTCCAAGATCCACCACACACGCGGCATCCTCTCTACTCCCAGCAACTCTTTCCATCATGCAAACATCTCCTAAAATTCTATACCTTCTACAGAGACCTCCCAGTTTACCTGAAGAGAACTGCTGGCTTCCTCAGCCCTCTGTATTTAGACACCAAATCCTGACTGCCCAGACACATCTCTGATAGCAGGAAGTCTCTCTCCTCTTTGCCTTGCCATTGTTTTCCTGTATTTAGAACAGTTTTCTATTGTTTCACCCTCTTCTGAGTGAAGGGGTAAGTGTGGAAAAGGGGGACTTATATGTGTCACTAGAGAGCCCCGGTGGTGCCAGGCAGTTGAAAATCCAAGTGAGGACGAACCTGGTTGTTCCATTGGGTTAGGGCAGTGCTCACAGAGCCTAGCTACGTTTTTGAATCACCTGGGAGCTTTTGAAACATATTCACGCATGGGCCTCATCCCAGACCATTTAAATCACAATCCAGGAAGTGGAGCCTGGTCATCATATTTTTCAAAAGCTCCCAGACATTTCTAAAAACCACTCGGTAGGGGAAGTCAGCTATCTCTGCTTAGTCAACAGGCTGAGAAGTATGGACATCCCTCTGTCCAGAAACAAAAGTCCACATATAGGCTGGGCGCGGTGGCTCACGCTTGTAATCCCAGCACTTTGGGAGGCCGAGGTGGGCGGATCACGAGGCCAGGAGATCGAGACCATCCTGGCTAACACGGTGAAACCCCGTCTCTACTAAAAATACAAAAAATTAGCTGAGCATGGTGGTGGGGGCCTGTCGTCCCAGCTACTCGGGAGGCTGAGGCAGGAGAATAGCGTGAATCCGGGCGGTGAAGGTTGCAGTGAGCCGAGACCGTGCCACTGCACTCCAGCCTGGGCGACAGAGCAAGACTCCATCTCAAAAAAAAAAAAAAAATCCACAAATAGGCCATACAGGAGGCCATGCTTCTGAAGCAGAGAAAGTTGGATTTGGGCAGCGGCAGGGAAGCTTTTGAGTGAAAACATCCACCACGATGGTCACATGGCCCTGGAGACACTAGGCCTGGATACTAACCTACAGCAACAGGTAAAGTTGAACTTCTCCAAAAAGGCTGGTCTAGCTTTAATAACTGGCTAGTGCATATGCTCCAGGCAAATGATGCAAAGGAAAGACAAATGGGTCGGTAGCAAAAGTAGGACTTAAATTTCTTTTCATTAATATTTATTAGTGCCTGTTAACAGCAACACAGATGTCCAAGGGCATAGAGGCCAAGGAGGAGAGGGGAGACATCTGGAAGGCAGTCTGTAGCCCAAGGGCAGAATCTTTGGGGGCATTTAGGAAGCTACTTTCTTCACTAGGTGTCCAGTGACCATGGCACAACCCTGGGGGCAGAGAAAGTTACAGACCCAAAGGGCATCACAGCAGGGGGGACATGCTGGGGCCTGCAGCCCAATAAAAGGCCAAAAATCTGGCTCTGGTAAGGACAGAGGTTCCTGAAGACCTGCTCTGCCTTTAGCTAGCGGTCTGGGTAGCCTGGTCTGGCATGCAACTAACTACCCATTACCAAGAGGAAGGACCTAGAGCATATGAACCAAGAAAGTGATGCCATACTGTTTAATCTCTACTTATCTGAGCATAATGTCTGTAATTTTGTATCTCCTCAATTCAAATATTTTGCTTGGCTTGTTTCCTTTTGAAATATCCTGATGTTGTAGGGTCTGAACCAGAGCAAAAAGACAGTCATTCCCAGTTAGACCAGGAGAACACTCCCAGGGACCAGGTCTGGGGGTGGCAGATCTGATTGGTGGAAAATAGAGCAGAGAGGGAAACCAATGGCAGCTGTGACTGTTGACTGCTTTGGGGGAGGGAGCAGAACAGTGAGAGATGTGAACATTTAGCTTCCACTTATGTGTTGAAATTATCATTGAGCCAAAAGGGAAAACAAAAGTAAAAGGATAAAGAGCTACCAAGGAAGAAAGATGGATTAATGTAGGTACGGTCCATCCAAACACAAATCTCTAATACCTTTCCTGTGGAATGGGCAAGAGCAGTGTCTTGTTAATTTCTAATGTCCTCCATGGCATCCAGCACAGAGCCCTGCATTTCTGTGCTTTATATTTGTCAAATGAATGGCAAAAGGCTCCCTTAAAGTCCTGCTCCAATGACTCACAACCCTTAGTGTCTGAAGTTCTTATCTCTATCTTTCCTAAACCACTCCTCTTGCAGTTTCATCCCTAATTTGCAGGGGGACTTGAGTCAGAGGGCAGCAGAAGGGACCAGATTTTACCTTTATTTATACTTTTACTGCTCCAGGGTAAATAATCCCAGTCATCGCCAATTCCTTAAGAAATTCCAGGTGCTATCTCCCAATTCTCTAATCACAAAATTCTTGGCTCAAGTGATTTTTTAAAAGTTTCAATCGTCCATCTAGTTATAATGATCCCACCAACCCAGACAAGATGGACGAGCATCTGTTAACATGCCAGAAAGCTTCTCTCTATCCATTATGGACCATCCCCGCTACAGTACAAGGAAAGGAATCCAAGGTTCCCAGGCCCCTCCTACCGAAGAATCCTCTCGAACTCATCTCGATCCCGTTGCACCTGAACAGCCAGAGCATGCTCCTTGAAAGCCACCTGTTCGAGCCGACTTTTCCGCAGCTCGGCCTCTGTTTCCATCTTCTTCTGCGCATTTTCCTTTTCCTTTCTGCGCCACTCTCTGTCTGCAACCTCCTGGTTGCGCTTGGCCCGCAAGGCATCCTGGGAAAGTTGGCAGGGGACCAGTAAGGGCACAATATAGCTGGAAGTACAGACCAAGTGCCTTTAAGAAGACACCTACTTACAGACTCTGACAGTCTGCTTTGAAAAGCACCATGAATTTCTCTGGCAGCTAGTTATTCTAGGAAAGGATAAGTGGAATCCTGTCATCAAACTTTTGGGTTAGAAGATAACCTGAGGGGTCATCTTGTCCTTCCAACCCACTCATCCCAGTTCTTTCCCTGTACCTCAGACATCTCCAGGCAGTCTTGAAATCACTTCTAATTTTAAAAACTGCTAATGATGGAGATACCACAGTTTCCCCTGGTGACACATTTCATTGGTTGGTTAAGGTAGAAAGTTCTTCTTTATGGAGCAGTGAAAAACTTTCTCTTGAACCTTAAGCACATGCTGCACTGCCCAATCCCTGCTGACACAGGCTTTGGGAGCAGACCCACCCTTTCCTTCTCAGACTACTGAAGTCTAAGTAACTTGCATCCTTTCCTCCACATCTCCACCCTCGAGGCCATTCTACAGGCTATCAAAGGGATGGACAGGCAAGGGAGTGGGAAAAGTAGAGGGAAGTCGAGACTAAGCAGGTACCTGTTCTGCCTGGTAATCCTGGGCCTTCTCCTGCATGGCCCTCAGGCGGGCGATCTCCTTCTCTTTCTCCCTCCGGATTCTCTCCTGCTCAGCCTCAAACTCTGCTTCTCGAGCCTGCCGGAAGGAAAGACCTTGTAGAACAATTGCCATTGCCCCAGCCTTGCAGAGTGAAACAAAACCCCTACAACAGACTTTCCAATATCCCCCCTACCACTTCCTGACTCCTTTTAAAATAGGACAAAATGAGGCCAGGCACCATGACTCATGCCTATAATCCCAGCACTTTGGGAGGCTGAGGCAGGAGGACTGCTTGAGCCCAGGAGTTCAAGACCAGCCTAGGCCACAGAGAAAAACTCTGTCTGTACTAGAAATCTAAAAATTAGCCAGGCATGGTGGCATGTGCCTATAGTCCCAGCTACTCGGGAAGCTGAGGTAGGAGGATTTTTGAACCTAGGAAGTCGAGGATGCAGTGAATCATGATTGCATTACTGCATTCCCCTGGGCAACAGAGCAAGACCTTGTCTCAAAATAAATAAATAAATAAATAAATAAATAAATAAATAAATAAGGTAAAATGAATTTAGCAATGCATGAACATAAAAACAATTAGCATTTATAAAATGCTTTATTGTTTACAAAACACTGTCCTATGTGTTATCCTGGAGAGCCCTCACAACATTTCATGAGACAGATATTATAGATGAGGAAACTGATGCTCAGAAAGATCAAGGGTCTTGCCCAAGATTGCACAGGAAGTAAACTACCTAACAGGATTTGAACACAGGTACCCTGACCCTGGCTTTCACACTCCTTCCACTATGTCATAGACAATTTTCAAGTTGCAAGGCTACTGGGCCAAGAAACAACTGTGGTTCTTTGCCTGTCTTATAAAGTACAGCAGGTGGAGATTATCTCATTAGTGCCTGGGCAAAGAGCCAACCATGCTTTGGGCAGTCCCACAGTGGTTACCAGATACTTAAAGAATGAACCATCAAAATTAGCTCCCTTTCCACCTCTCTGAAAAAACACACATATCCTTAAAAGCTTCCCAAGCCCAGCTTCCCAACGGCCATCCTTAAGCCATCATAAGATGAATGGTGCAGGTTGGAGGGAAATGTGACCTTAATAAAGAATCCTCCCAGCCCAGCATGGTGGCTCACACCTGTAAGTAATCCCAGCACTTTGGGAGGCTGAGGCAGGCAGATCACAAGGTAAAGAGATCAAACCAGTTGGGGCCAACATGGTGAAACTGCGTCTCTACTAAAAATACAAAAATTAGCTGAGCATGGTGGCGCATGTCTGTAGTCCCAGCTACTCCAGAGACTGAGGCAGGAGAATCACTTGAAGTGGGAAGCAGAGGTTACAGGGAGCGGAGATGGCGCCACTGCACTCCAGCCTAGTGACAGAGCAAGACTCCATCTAAAAAAAATAAATAAATAAAACTTCCTTGGCCCTCATTTTACCTGACCAGATTTCTGTGAAGCCAGTGAGTTGTCCCTGTAAGTTGTACAGGGCTGTTGCCAAGCTGCTTCCTCTGTCCACCCTGCCCTAGATAGCAGGACAGGGAACTCTGGGTGTTTCTACAACCAATCTCTGCTTTTAGCTCTGCAGGGGCAGCCCTGGCTGCAAGAATAAATACCACCATGAGGTCGGTAAGGGCTTGTGATATACGTAGATACTTACGGTGGACTGTGGACATGCCCAAGTGCCTGATCCTGTGGCCAGTCTCCCGCCTCTCCCAGCTACACCTTTCCATGATAAAGATAAGATATACTCCTCTCTTGCTTAGAAACTCATGGCGACTCCTTAACATTCCACCCTTCCAGTTCCACTCAAGGTCCAAGACACCCCAACAACTGCTCTTAGCTCTCCATCTCACCACCCTCATTTCTTATTATGTCCACTACAAACTCTCTGCTGCAGCCAGAAAATATGTGCACTAACTCCTACACAGAATTAGCTCATTATGCCCACCTTCATCCACTTGGGAAAATAGTGGTTGAGTTCCAATGGTATAGCATTATTCTAGGTATTTTCAGCCTAGTCTGACTGGACACATATTGAAGGATCCAGTATATTTTGAATCATCAATGACTATTTCACAGGATTATTGTAAAGATTAAAAGAGATAACACATGTTAGCACAGAGCCCATGCACAGACTAGGTGCTCACTAAATGATAGTTATGTGGTTGTTATTATGTAGGAATCATCTACGTCCCCAACCCTACATTCTCACTCTATTGCTTGCATAGAGTGTCCCCAGCATCCAATAAGAATACTAAAGCCAATAAGTGAGCTTAGCTGAGCTTCATTTTCTGTGGTTTGTATTCAGAACATATAGGTGTACCAAATATGCCATTCAAATTATACTCACGCCCTCCTCTTGGCCTTCTTTAAAAATCACTACTATAGAGGAGCATAGAGAAGTATAATGTGCTTCTGTCATGGAATTTCAAAACTAGCAGGGCAGACAAGACCAACACATGAAGAATTTAATAACTTTCCTGCCACTTTGAGTACTTCCTCCTCTTTTTATATAAATCCACGTTCACTTTACCTAAACTACTCTTAAAAGCCGCCTTCTACTCTCCAAACCCCATAGATCCCAATCATTTTATTACTCAACTTTTCCCCAGAATGAACTGACACATTCATGAGCTACATTCATCTGCAACTGTCTGTTGGTATGGTTCTCTCCTCCACTGTGCATTTGCTCTGTCTTATAGGTTCTTTGGTGGGAGACAGGGGAAGACTATTTTCTGAGTCTAGCACCCAATACAGGATGCCCAATATAGGCATTTGCACAAGAAATTTATGTAACCTCTGACTCATGATTACCGGGGGTATAATTATGCAAGTAGTGACAAATCCACAAAAAACCTACTTTCACCAATGGTTTTAGTTTTCTTTTCTGCCCGCACATGGGCCTCATCCCAACTTCTAATCAAAGGTGTTAATGAGGATAAAGCTAATTTGGGTGTCCTTTCTAGGCTGTCTCTGTTAATAAACAAGTGGCCTGGCTAAGATGAAGAGACAAAGAAGCCAGGCCCTTGAACTAAGGATGTGCATCGTAGAATGAAGGTGCGGCTGCCTTCCACTGAAGTTCCCTCAGTTCTCGGCCCTCCTCTCCCTGTGACAGACATTCCATTCCTAGCCAAAGGTCCCAGAAACCTAGTCCCTACCATCTTCTTCTTGGTGAACTCCATCACCATCTGGTCCGCCAGCTTCTCCTGAGCCAGCAGCTCTGCTTTCTGTTTCTGGTTTTCATCATTGATGCGCTTAATCTCAGCTTGCATCTTCAGTTTTTGCTGCTGCCTTTGTTCCATGTCCTGCCCGCAAAAAAAAGAAAGCCTCAGAGTACAAAGAGGTAAGACGAGAAGCCACTGGCATCCAGAGATAGAGAGACACAGATGGCGGGGGCGGGGACGGGGGACAAATGCATTGCCTGCAGTCTAGCGTCCACAACTATCCTTTGTTAAAGCTGTTTTTTCAAGGGTCATCAATGCCCTCTTCAACCAAATGGCCTCTTTACAGTCTTCATCCAACTTGACTTTGTGGCAGCCCCTGATGCTATTGATCTCTATATTTTCAGGAAGCAGAAGCTCTTAAAGTTCCATGGAATTGCCTTTCACATGTTTTGCTAAATCCCACCCCTGTGGCTTTGCTCACGGTGCTTCCTCCTGCCTTCAATTTCCCTCTCCCATTTAAACCCAACTTTCACTCTCCAGTCAATAGTGACGACTGAAATAATACCTATTGCCCTAACTGAGTACTCTCTATTTCTTGAGCATTGTACACAGACTATCTCTAATACCTAAATATGTCCAAAAATCCTAAAAGGTAGGCCTCATTATCTCTCTTGCTCCAATAAAGAAAGTGCAGCCCAGCATTGAAGTGACTTCCCCACTGGCCACACAGCTTATAATCTCCAGAGCTAAAATTTTGAAACCTGTTCTGTGTAAAGTATCAACCTTCTCTGGAAATCTTGCTTGATTGCCTCAACTTTCAGTTCTCTCTCCATTTCTAAATTCCCTCTGCACTTCAGGTGGCGCCACACCTCTTGTAAGGTGATCATACACTGCCTTGCAGGTCCCCACTCATTTCATATGTGTTTGCTCTGCCCCAGTTACAGGACAAGGGACCTTGTGTCACACATCCTCTCTTCCCCAAAAACATGTAGCCCAATGCAAGGAAAATAGCAAATATTCGATAACCCATTGCTAAATGAGGCAGAGAAGGTAGGACCAAAGTGAGAGGCATGTGAGAAAGAAAAGAAAAAAAGTTCTTAGACGCAGAGAAACATTTGACGGAGATCAGAGTACTAATGTGAACAAGGTCCTTTTTAAGGAGGGATCCCCCTGCCTTTCCCAGCCTTGAGCCTTCAGTGTCTCTCAATGATCAGACCACTTCTGAGCCAAGCACATTCTCAGGTGCAGAGGTGCATTGGAATTAGGGGAACAGCTGGCCCCTCAATCCCCTCCAATCAATCTCAGACTCCTTAAGTTCTTCTATTGATTACCTCACCCCACCTCCCACACTATTTCCAGCTCCCTCCGTTTCTCCAAAGACTAAATCCCTCCCTGGCCTTCCAGCTCTTCCTCAGCCCAGCTGCTGCCCTGATAAGTCCAACCAAGGTAACTCTCCCTGTGTGTCTTCCTCTAGAGCTGGCTCTCTGCCAGCTTGGCTCACTGCCCAGTTCAGGGCTCCTTCCTTCAGGAAGCCTTCCGAACCGGAGCGGTACGGCAACTGTCTGCCTCTGAGGTCCATGTGGTGCATGAGTCACAGACATTCCCCCTCTCTCTCACTATACTCATTTCTTTGCACACTCCACTTTTCCCTTTCTGCTCCTCCAACTCTCACACTCCCTTTCCCCCTTCTCCCCTTCTTCCTTTCCTTTCTAACTGCTTCTCACTGATTTTACGCATGCTATTTGTATCCCAGACATCATTTAATCTCACTGGCCCTCAAAGCTAAAGATACTGTTGATTTCTGATGTATGACATACATGCAATTATGTATTTATTTACTTCTTTCCCTATTTATTTACTTTTTGGATTGTTGTTTTTGTTGGTTCATTTCATTTCCAAGACACCAAAGGACTTTCCCTGTTTCTTTTGAAGCCTTTCCAAAGCAACCCCAGATAAACTCCCTTCACTCTTTTCCCGTTTGCTAGCAAGGTGGGAAACGTTGCCCTTAGTACCACCATGAGATGATACAGTAGGTCTAAAGCTGGGAAGGCACAGGTTTCTACGCTAAAATTGCCCAATAATACTTCCTGGAGACTCAAGGAGTGCCTGTTGGAAGGACATTAAAAGGATAATGACACAACATCAACGTAATGGTGCTGACTCATGGACTCCTAGAACTTCCTCAGTGAGTCCACCAATTCCCACTCCCCACATCTAGTTGGATTTTCCCGCCCTCACTTCTTGCTCTCTACCCTGCATATTTGCCCCATAACTTTCCTTCTTGGCCCTTTCCCATTCTCTCTCCCCTGAGCCAGGAAATGGAGTAACTTGGGCAGGTCTCTCATTGTCTTCACTCTGCTATTCTCCTTCTCATGCAGTTCACAGGGCTGTGTGCCCCTTCGGTTTCCCCAGCTACTCAGGTGATCTTCATTCCTCTTCTCTAGCAGCTCCTCACACTGCAGGTGTGGTGAGAAGGCTTCATAATTACAAGTCTGCCCACCTGCAGGACTCTTCACGTCCCCCTGTCACTCACCACCACCAAATGCACTAGCTGATGACAACTTGACAATTCATAAACACAGGGGAGGGAGAGAATCGTAAAAGAATATGTGTTCCACGAGTTAAATGGCACCATGAGGAGGCAATCAAACAAATTCAGAATGTGAGATATTCTTAAAGGCAACTGGCCTAGCTGCTTCAAAATATCAGTGTTATAAAAATGAATGAAGAGGGCCGGGCGCGGTGGCTCAAGCCTGTAATCCCAGCACTTTGGGAGGCCGAGACGGGCAGATCACGAGGTCAGGAGATCGAGACCATCCTGGCTAACCCGGTGAAACCCTGTCTCTACTAAAAAATACAAAAAACTAGCCGGGTGAGGTGGCGGGCGCCTGTAGTCCCAGTACTCGGGAGGCTGAGGCAGGAGAATGGCGTGAACCCGGGAGGCGGAGCTTGCAGTGAGCTGAGATCTGGCCACTGCACTCCAGCCTGGGAGACAGAGCGAGACTCCGTCTCAAAAAAAAAAAAAAAAAGAATGAAGAAATGAATGAATGAATGAATGGGGGAACTCTTCTAGATCAAAACAAACTAAAGAGACTCAACAATTTGCAAGGTTTGCAATGTGCAAACCTTGATTAACGTCTAGTTTGGAAACAAGAAAGCCAGAAAAACGTATTTGGAACAATTGGGGAATATGAATGTGCATTAACTATTAAATGACATTATGGAATCACTGAATTCAAGTTTTTTATGGAGGAGGTGATAATGGTATTGTCATGTAAGAGAGTGTCCGTGTTCTTTAGAGCTGCAGGCTGAAGCGTTTAGTGGCAGAGTGTCAAGATATCTGCAACTTACTTTCAAATAGTTTAACAATAAAAAAATAAATATATATATATACACACACACACACACACACCCCCCTAGAAAGAAACAAGCAACTTAGATAAATGATTAACAATCATTAAATCTAGGTGAAGAGTTTATGGGTGTGATACAATTTTTTCAACTTTTCTGTCTGCGTGTGCAAAATTTTCAAAATAAAAAATTGAGGAAAAAAAAATTATCCAAGTGCCTGCCATGTCCCTCACTGTGCTAGAGGGTTTTATACATTGTTACATCCCAGAAAAGGCACATAGAAGAGGACATTTTAAGTCTTCTTAGTTTGGGCAGGTATGTCATCATTTCTTTTGCAATAAATACGCCTACTAATTTTATTTGGACTAACAGGAAGAAAAGGTTTGGCTTCACCACACAATTAATGACAATGAGATGCTATGTACTTTGAGTGAAGTAACAGCAGGGAGACTGGAACTCAGATATTGCTACTGTTCATCTACAAAGTATATAATATCCCTAGGTGATTGAGGGAAGACCATAAAACATCCCTATTTACTTATGCAAGGCATGCAGCCATATATTTCCTTTATGTGTCTATTCACAATGATTTGTCAGCCTCGGATCCCAAGTCCCTGGAAGGAAGGGACAATATCTATCCAAATCACTGCTCATCCCCCAGCATGACACCATGGTGAAATAAATATTTAACATGGCAATAAAAAGTTGATGGTGATGATGTTGTGAAATGAGCATGTGCCTGGCAGAAAATCATTCAACACCCTGAAACCCCAGAGTCTTGAAGGGTTTTGATGCTGCTGGTGGTGAAACGTGGCATTGTCTGTCTGGCCTGTTACCTTTAGATCTTCCTCTTGGAGCTGTTCCATATACTCCAGCATCTGCTCCTTCTCCTGCTCCCGCTGCTCAGCAAGCAGTGATCGCTCCTCCTGGTTCTTTTCCATCTGTTCCACAATTTGCCGCCTTCCTCTTGGAGAGAACAGTGCCACAGTGTCTTAGAAACCCAGGGTCCACATCTCCCAGAGTCCAACCTCCATCTAAACAACCCCCAAGGTGGGTGGGGTCACAGAAACAATTGGCAAGTGCCCCTTAAACATGGATATGCTTCATGAGCCCAGACCAAAGTCCTTAAACCAGGAAGGACCTCAAGGGTTAGCCTCCTTTCTCCTGAGCTCCTGGTTCCAGGGCTCACTTTTCCTGAGATTCTCCTTCTTTATTTGTTTGCCCAAGAGGGGCACCCCACTTGATAAAACACTTTCTACCTTCCAGTATAGAGTTTCTGAAATCCTACCACCTCCCAAATCTTCCCAGAGTAATCATAGGAAGCTAGCTGAATAGTAAAAAGCCAAACAAACAAACAAACAAACAAAAAACAAACAACAACAACAACCAAAAAACCCAGGGTCTATAAGCAGTGTTGCCAGTGATTCCCTATGTGTTAATGGGGTGTCAACAAACTTGGAAGCATAGACCCCATGACATATGAGTAAAGGCTGGAAGAATGGGAGAAGACACAGATTGGGATAAGGATCGAGGGAAAAGAGTATGAGAGCCACATTCAGATGGAGTGCTCGAATGGCTTCATGACTCCAGATGAAGTAAACCGGAGTAAAGAGTAAAAGGGTTACATGAAAACAAGTTTGGCCTCAATATAAGGACCAGCTCAAATCATTACTGTTGCCTAATGAGAGATTTTTCCTTTACTGGAGCTGTTTATGCAGAAGATGGACAGCCACTTAGCCACTAAATAACCTTTTACTGGGAACCTACTATAGTACACCAGGTACCTACCAGAAGTACAGAGGTGAATGTACCAGGTATAGTATACCAGGTACAGAGATGAATGGTTCCAGAGAATAGGATACAGCTGGGGAGATAAAACTGCCATTCAGTGTGGTACAAGGATTATTTATAGAGGTAATTCATGTATTGAATGGTTGGCGTTCTAAATCTAGGACACTATTATTCTATAATTTACTTGCTCTGGGACTTGTCCTTTTCAGCACAAAATGAAGGGGAGACTGAATTGATTCATCCTAACATGAATTAAGCACCTATTACAGGCCAAACACTCTACTAGGCTCAGAAGCTACAGAAATTGATACGATAGGACCTGTCCCCAATGAGCGTAGCATCTAGGAGGGTCAGAGAGCCACAGCACAAGAGCACAAGAGTAGGGTGCTGGAGTATAAACACAGAGTGATGGGCGCAGAGAAGGGAGCCACTAAGCCTGCCTGGTGACATGAGGGAGGTGACAGCAAAGCTATGTATAAAGGGAAGGAGAGAGCATTTTCCAGGAGGAAAAGGAGAGGAGGGTATTCAAAAAAAGAGAAAACAACAAAAAATTAAGAACTTGTGACAAGGCCTGGCATGTTGGGGGCCTGGGAAAAAGCAGAAAGTAGATGGCAGGTAGGGGTAAGAAACGAGATTGCAGCCAGACTGTGAAGTGTCTCCCAAGATTTGGGAAATAAGCTTTTAAAAGTTCTGTGATTCCGGCCAGGCTCACGCCTGTAATGCCAGCACTTTGGGAGGCTGAGGCCGGCTGATCACTTGAGGTCAGAAGTTTGAGATCAGCCTGGGTAACATGGTGAAACCCCATCTCTACTAAATACAAAAATTAGCCGGGTGTTATTGTGCGTGCCTGTAATCCCAGCTACTTGGGAGGCTGAAGTAGAAGAATTGCTTGAACCCAGGAGGTGGAGATTACAGTGAGCCAAGATTATGCCACTACACTCCAGCCTGGGTGACAGAGTGAGACTCCCTCTCAAAAAAAAAAAAAAAAAAAAAAGGTTCTGTGATTCTGTGTATCACTTAGTGAAGTTTTAAGATAAGTAGATGACAATAATGACCATTTTGCATTTTTTCCCTCTTTGCTAGGCTACATGGACCTAAAGATACATGGAAATAGCTTAGAGAGGGAGATGCCAAAACCATATCTTTACCTAATTCTTTCCTCCCTCCTCTTCCTGTCCAGTTCCTCCTGCCTTTGAATGGATTTCTGCCGCTCCACTTCCATCATCTGATCCAACCGCTTCTCCTCTGTGTCCAGTTCTTTTTGGATCTGCTGCTTCTCCAGGATTTGGGCATCCCGAATGGCATGGCACTTAGCATTGAGGATAATCTGGAGAGTGGGGATTAAACTGTGGCACTAGGCCTAGGGATATGTAAGTTTAAGGGGAAGAAATGGGAACACAATGCTATACTGTTGAGCATGCCGGAGGTGTGCATGACTGCTCACAAGTCCGGGGAAATAAGAATGTTCTTATATTTACCTTTCCCCTGAATACAGTTGAGCTCAAAGATTTACTGGCCTCCTGCTAGGTGCCATGGTCTGTGCAAGGAGGGGCCTGGAATAGCATCTTTCAGGGAGCTACATCGTAGGGTTTTGGTGGTAATGGGTCACCCTTTGGAAATATGATGAAAGCAGTAGGCCCTCTCCTCCATCAAATTCACTTACAGATATACACACAAAATTTCTATAAAACTTCAGAGGTCCATTGTTCCACTTAGAGACCCATGAACTCCAGGTTGGACCCCTTGTTCTCCTCAGGGGAGCTAAGACACTCTTGCAGAGGCCAGGCCACAAGATTTTTAAGCTGGAAGAGCCCAACATGACACAAAAGGGATGAAAAGCCATGGGCCCATCCATAAGAACCCAAAAGTAAAACTTTAGAAAATTAAAGGAGGCAAACGTAGAGAAGATTTACCTGAGAGACAGAAATCAGAGGTGCAGGGATTGGGGAATCAGCACTTTTCGTTTGGTAAGGAAATGAACCACGTGCAAATGAGTTACAACAGAATTCAAATGAGCCTCTGGTCTTTATGCTCTCAGCCAAATGAAGAGCTTTAGGTACTCCAAAAGCATCCAATTGCCTCGACCACCATACGTGGCCAGAACTGAACTAACAGGATGAAAATAAAAGTAACACTTCACATTTAATTTACCAATCCACAGCCCACAAAGCCTCTCCCATCTATTAGCTTATTTCATCCTGCCAATGATTCCACAAAGCAGTTTTACCACCCTCAAGTTACAAATGAAGAAAGTGAGGCTCAGGGAGGGCAAGTGACTTGCCCAAGATCACACAGCAAGCAGGTGGCAGAGCCAGTCCTCACTGTGATCACTGCAACTACCACAGCAGGTGCAGCTCTCCTGCTGCCCCTCCCCTGCCCACACCCCCACCAGTCCCTGACCTTGTCCAGTGTGGGAATAAGAGGAGGGAGGCAGGATGGCAGTGAGCGCTCAGAGGGAAGGGAGAGATGAAGAGCCCACCTTGCTCATGTCCTTGAGCTCCTCCTCCTGCTCCATCCGCAGCTTGTTGGCTCTCTGCAGGAGGTTCTGGGCCCGTTCCTTGGCTACCTCCTCCAGATCACTGAGCTTCTTGTTGTTGTTCCACACCATCTCCTTCTGTTTCATGATCTTCTTTCGTGTCATCACTGCATCCTATGGGAGACCAGTCTGGATCAGTGGGGGATTATTTCATGCGCTCTGTGCCCTGGGTGCTAGCCTGGCTATCACAGGTGACCCAGTACAATTTTGCCTCGGCTAGTGATGACATCAGAACCAAGAAGTTCCACAGCCTGGCTTCATTCTCAGCCCTCCCCTTGGCCCCAGTTGCTCCCACCTCTCATCTCAGGTGTTGCTCTTTGGTCTCCTTTCTGCAATATTTCTTAAGTACGTAATTTGTGCCTCATTTCAGGGACCCCTAATGAGAGTTCCTCAGTACATTTTGATTCTGCCACCCATCTGCAGAGGCAAAGGCTTAGGGAGGTTAACTACCATGATGGCTTCCTTCTCCTTCTTGAAAGCCTGGTCCCTGGCCTCAAGTTCTTCTCTGGTCAGGACATGGGATGCCCATTTGATTCGCTGAAACTCCTCAGGGCTGATGATTAGGGATTCCCCGGAGGGATCCTCTGTGGGAACACTGACACAAGAATGAACAGATTTAGGGAGGTGAGAGGGAAAGTTCTCGGCACCACACTTTAGGCTTCTCTGCTCTTTTCCCCTCTCTCCATCATGCCAGTGGACTTCTCCAGTGGCAGAAGAGACGGCAAGTGTGCCATGGGTCCATGGGGAGTAGAGGTTCCAAGGTGGGGGTCAGGTAGCACTGCAGGCTAAAAAGAGACATTTTAAGTCCTTTTTCTATAAGGTCCAACTCATATGTTACCTTCTCTGTGCAGCTGAGACCCACCCCCCATCATGTCCACATGTGCCCACTCTGCCCCTCCACCCACCAAGACCCAATAGATCACCTCCTCCTCTGAGCCCCCACTGCACTCTGTTCTTACTGCCTGTATCACAGCCAATCATGCAGGCTCTGTTTCCTTTATGAGCTCCTTCAGGACACAAACTCTGTCTTAACCACATTGGTAGCCTAGTCTCTGGCATAGCGCTTGCCACAGAGTGAGAATTCAAAACAAAGCTGTTGAATTAAACTTTAAAAACAGATTATTCCTCAAGGATGACATAAAAAGGGCAAGAGGACGCCAGACAAGGTTGATGTAGATGCTAGTTAGAAACCTAAGCTTCCCTGCCTATCCAGCCTAGAGAGAAGCTTTGAACCCTAAATATTAATTAAAATCTATGATCAACAATAGCCAGAGACGTCTATAGACCTCTCCTTTCTAGCTATCCAACGCATTCAACAAACCAATCGCTAATTATAATGATTACAAGCAAATGACATACATTAAAGATGGGGGAGGGAGTAGTTGGGGAGGTGAGAAGAAAGCTGCTTCTGGGTGAGGCAGGTACATGCCAGTAAGACAGATGGTCTGAGACAGGAAGTGAAACCTCATCTAATAAAACTAGTGTGTGTGTGTTGGGGGAGGGTGGTCCAGGAGATGGACAGAATGAGTGAGTGGATTTGCAGCTTAGCCAAGATCTTGTGTTTCACGAAGCAGTGTGGCCCTAAACAGCCTAGGATCTGGAGTGACCAGCAGTGATCTGAATCTAAGACAGCAGCTCATACTACTTTCAGCAGCCCTGAAAAATAACCAGCCACTTGTCCTCTGACGTGTTCTCAGGACCAGATGGCTCCAAGAAGGAGCCCTTCCTCCAGCTCCAGGAGTGGCTGCAGGGCTCTAGCCACATCTGGCCACTTGATGCCAGGGCTGACCAGACATGGTCAGTAAGGGACCGCAGTCCAACACAGCTCCCAGGGTGTGTCCCAGATGTGCTTCCCCAGCTATGACACAGGTAGCATTTTCTGGGAATTAGGGTTTTTAGTGAGTGGAGCCAGGGCAGGGAGAACGGTTGTAAAGGGTGAAGCACTAACACAAGAGCTAAACCACCGAGCAGTGTTGGCTCATGGCACATGGTTGAGCTAGGCCTAAGCCCCACAGGAGGGGCTCAAGCCTGGGGGCAGCTCTAGTCAGGAAGCGGGGCTGAGCTAATCCCAAAGGAAACCAAGGAGCCCCTGTGAATTTCCTCTTACGGCTTTAGAGTCTGGGAGGAAGCCAGGGGTCTAATGAGGCATCTGGTCAGTTTCCCTTTGCTTCAGATTCTTAATGCAGCCGAAAGGAAGTGACTCATCTGGATCACTTCTCTTTAGGGAGGGCACTAATGGGGACTTAGAGAGGACTCACTAAGCACCTCCCCTCTACCAGTCCCTTAGCTCACACAGCCAGCCAGAAGTAAGGAAGGAGAATGAAGCTGAGAATAAAGGACAGTGGCAATAATAGATACAATGGGAGAAACAAGAGAGGCCAGGACGGAGAAGAAAGAATGAACTATCAAACAAAAAGGGGAAAATGAATAGGAAAGAAGTGGGGATTGGACAGACAGAATGAAACCAGGTGGGTTTATCCATCTCCTTGCAAAGATCCTTAGCAAAAGGATAGGGACTGGGCAAAGAAGGACAGGGGACTGTGTACTTACATGAGCTCTCGGACCATGTCCCGGGTGATGAGCTGGATGGTCTCTGGCTTTCGATCCAAGCCCAAAGCAGTGAGAGTTTTTTGAAGGGTATGCTTATCTCGGAGCAGCACAATGGGGCTGTCACTCTGGCCCTGGGCTGGGGACTATGAGTTCAGAAAGAATAGCTTAGAAGCTTGTCACCCCCACTTCCTGCTGGTCAGTCCTAACTTCAAGGATAGACCAGCGTGATGCCCTATATCTGAGCATGGCTGGATGTGTTCTGTACTGACCAGCTTTTCTTTTCTTTTCTTTTCTTTTCTTTTTTCTTTTCTTTTTTTCTTTTGAGATGGAGTCTTGCTCTGTCACTCAGGCTAGAGTGTAGTGGCACAGTCTTGGCTCACTACAACCACTGCCTCCCGAGTTCAAGCAATTCTCCTGCCTCAGTCTCCCGAGTAGCTGGGATTACAGACAACCACTACCACACCTGGCTAATTTTTGTGTTTTTAGAAGAGATGGGGTTTCTCCATGTTGGCCAGGCTGGTCTCAATCTCCTGACCTCAGGTGATCCGTCCACCTGGGCCTCCCAAAGTGCTGGGATTACAGGCGTGAGCCACCGTGCTGGATCCTGACCAGCTTTTCAGAGAACAAGTCTCTTGTTCTTGCACAGATATTCCTTGCAGAACGGTAGGGATAGTAAAGAGTGGCGGTCACTAGTGTGTGTCTATACCCAGTCTAAAGTCATCAGGAATGAAAGCAAATTTCTGGTCTCTAGGTTTTCCTCTCTCCATGAAAGATTTTCCTTTACGAAAGAAGAAATAATTATCTCTCTAGGACCACACAGTGGGTTTGAAGCAATATAATTTGTTACAGACTCTTACAGTCTTTGACCTTGGTCATTTTAAATTCTTTCTTACAATTAAATTACTTTAACCCCCGCAAAAAGCCATATTGAGGGAGATAGAAATTGCTAAATGACCTGCAGAGGCCTACCCTTAAGATCTATGGGTAGTTCTCTACCAGCTCATTGAGTTGGTGCTGAGGTCAGTGAGTTAGAATTCAGCAAGAACACAGACTGTGTTTTTTTTGTTTTGTTTTTGTTTTTCAAAATTCTCCAACCTGAAGGAGTTAGATAACAAGAAAATGAAATCACCTGTTTCAGAAAATGTCTAAACACAGGAAAGGATGTGTCATTAATGCAGCCACTGTGATCCTGACCAGAGGCAGGGGGATGGCCCCGCTTGTCCTACCTCACTTTGCACTCACAGTCCCCTGTGTGCTGCTGCCACCTGGTGCCCATCTCTGCTTTCACGTGGGCACAACTCAGTCATGCCACAGGCCACTTCTGCCCTCTACTGCCTGTTGAGAGACTTCCTGAACTCTTACCCACCAATGAGGCCAAAGAAACTGGGCAAGGGACAAGCATTTTTCTGATAACCACCTTTTGCCAGCCAGCGTGACTGCTCCTGGAGAACTCAGCCAATTCCAAATCTCTCTTTGCTTTGACTAGAAAACTCCACATGTACCCACAACAACAGCAACAACAACACAAATGTCTGTAAGTGAAATTGCATTTCGGCCAGGTGGGGTGACTCACACCTGTAATATCAGCACTTTGGGAGGTCAAGGCAGGCAGATTGCTTGAGCTTAGGAGTTCAAGACCAGTGTGGGGAACACGATGAAACCCTGTCTTTACAAAAAATACAAAAATTAGCCAGGCATGGTGGTGTGCACCTGTAGTCCCAACTACTTGGGAGGCTGAGGCAGGAGAATCACTTGAGCCTGGGAAGCGGAGGTGGCAGTGAGCCAAGATTGTACCATTGCACTGCAGCCTGGGTGACAGGAGTGAAACCCTGTCTTAAAAATAAATAAATAAATAAATAAATGCATCTGTTGATCCTTTCCCTTACCAACAGGAAAACTGCTGCAGAGTGAGAGTCTTCTAAATGGATTAAGAAGCCTATCTTGATCCCTCTGGAGAGTCCTCTTCAATTCACAATGAAGATGTTGAAGAGTAACACCAACTCTCCTCTCCCCACCTTCCCCACTGGCAGAGGGATTCAGATCACTATTGGTGTCTCTCTTTCCCTTTTCCCCTTCTCTTAAACTCTCACTGCCCTTCCCTCCATGTCTCATTCTCTTTTTCTCCTTCCCTCTCTTCCTTCTCACCTACTAAACTCCATGTGTACCAAAATCAGTCAAAGCTCTATTATCTAGCTCTCTTTATCCAGACTAAAGGAGTTGTCAACCTCCTGGTCTAGACAACACTTGCAAATAAAGACCTGCTCATTTCCCAAAGCTAAATAATTGTTTTAGTTGAGCAACTGAGAAAGGAGGATGGTTTTGTGTTGTACTCTGATGCTATTATCCTTGGATGGAGGGGGAAGATGTTGCTCTTGTCTGCAAGCTTAGCCCATCAGCCCTCCAGCGGTTCCATCATGGAGCTCAACTGCAACTATTGCACTCTCTGCAGCTGAGCCTCCCTTTTGACATTACAACAGATTTTAAACACTGTGAAGACATGAGAGACTCTGGGGTGGAAGAAGCCGGGTGTCCCTGTTGAAATAGGCCCCACTAGATCCCAAAGCTCTGCAACTCAGGTCTCAAAATTCCCCTTTGTCTTCAGTCTGAGAGCTACCCATGAGAGCAAGGTTACTCAGCAGAAGCTTTGCCCTGAGCTACATTTTTGGGCTTCTGCCTGCAGGTGGCATTGACTTGAAAGGACTTGTTGAAGATTACCTTGATATCTCCAAAGAGGCTCTCATCCACTTCAGAGCTCACGGCTTTGGTCCGATAGCGAGCCTTATTCCTTGACCTGTTGGAAGCGGCAGAAGAGGAGCTCAGGATGCCAGTTGTGCTTAGTGGCTGCAGGAAGAGGCAGAAAGTTTGGGTCATCAGTACTGAGTGGCATCCAGGTCCTGAGCAGTCAACAATTCACCAGCCCATGCTGGGGGAGTGGGTGGGCATGTGAAAAAGAAACAGTTAGGGAAAGCGGCTGTGTAAACTCTGAACCGTAGGGGACAAAGAGTAACAGATGGAGGGCATCCCTACAGAGCAGGGGGGTCTCTGCAAAAAGAGAGCTCTGCACAAAGGAGCATTTCTGTAAAACAGTTGATCTCATAGAAGTAGAGAGTAGAATGGTGGTTACCAGAGGCTGAAGAGAGGAAGGGGAGGGGCATGGGGAGAGGTTGATCAATGAGTGCACAGTTACAGTTAGATAGAAGGAATAAGTTCTGGTGCTCTATTGCACAGAAAGGCCACTATAGTTGATAATAATGTACTGTATATCTCAAAAGAGATACACAATATCTAGAGGAGAGGATTTTGAGAAATATAAATGTTATAAGATTAAATGAGATGGTAAGATCTAGTATTTGATAGCACAATAGAATGACTAGAGTTAATAATGTATATTACTATATATAAATGTATATTAATATACATGTATATAATAATATATAACTATATATAAATGTATATTATATACATGTATATAATATATATTACTATATATAAATGTATATTAATATACATGTATACAATAATATATATTAATATACATGTATACAATAATGTATATTATTTATATTGTATATTTCAAACTATCTAGAAGAGAGAATTTTGAGTGTTCTCACCGCAAATAAATGACAAGTGTTTTAGGTAATGGATATGCTAATTACCCTGATTTGATCATTATACAATGTACATACATGTATCAAAACATCACACTGTACCCCATAAATGTGTACAATAATTATGTGTCAATTAAAAACAAAACTGCTTTGTTTTTTGCGGTTTTTTAAAAAGCAATTCCATAGTCCCCGAAGCTGAAGGCCAAGTCGGCCACATAGGATGGAAGTAAAGATAAAAGAAGCAGGAATGGCAGGAGGAGAGAAGCAACAGTTTCTCATTATCAGACTAGTACCAGTTTCCCAAGAGGACAACCTCTCGTGGGGCAATTTGGACTTGCCTCTCCAGACATGCACAGTGTCCCCTTTGCCTCCAGTCTTTTCAGCTTGTGCTTCAAGTCTTTCTCACAAATGATACCACTGTTGGACCTCCTTCGTATCTCCACAATCTTACAAGGTTATGGTGGGAGCACAGGATATGGAAAAGCGCCTCACCCACTGCTTGGCATGTGGCTGATGCCCAATAAACTTGAGGCAGTGGTGAATGATAAATGATTACTAGCTACAATCAAGCAAACCAGTTCATAATATCCACTATTTGGCTGTTTCTCTCCCAAGACCCTTTTAGTGTGCCTTAGTCATTTTTTAGCCCCCTACTAACTTCCTATTTTGGCAAATTCCCCATCTAATGAGTTGTGGGAGATAGTGCTCATCTCCAACTACAGAAGCTGAAAACATCAAATATTTACCTTCTCAGCCTGCCCAAGGGACCTAGGCTTACCCAGTGAGATGGCCCTGGACTGACAATGACTAGGGAACTAGTGAACCAAAAGGCAGAACAAGGAAAACCTTTCTGACCCAAACAGAACTGGCAGTCAGACCCAGTGTCTGGACAACACTGATAACGATGCCAGCAGCAGCACCCTATGTACAGAGTTGGAAGTTTTGGGGATACAACAGTGCATCAGGGTCCTTGCCAGATCAGTTCTAGGTTTTGATTGTGGTCTTGATTCCAGCTGCAGAACCTTCCTTTGTTCCTATTTTTGAGCTCTCCAAAACCCTCTTAACACATTCTCTTTTACTTAAATTGGAATTCTGGTTCTGTCGCTTGTAACTAAGAATCTGATTAACACAACCTCCATTCCCAAAGGACAGGCAGCTTCAGCTCAGTCCCAAGAGTAGACGTCTATCTTGAAAAGGTAGTATCTACAAGGACTACTGGATGACTCCAGGCTTATGATAAAGCTGACTCAAACCTCACTTTGGAGAAGCCCATATGCCCCACATCTCTCTAAACTGGGTTACCTTAAAGGAATGGGCCAGACACATTCCCAAGACTGGGAATCAGCAGCTGTCAAGGGAACAGGGTAGACAGGGAAATATACCATGCATTCCAGGTCACTAAGCCCTGGACAGTGTTCTGAAAGCTCTCTCTGATCTGTCATTACCAACCAGACATCCCAGTGCCTGTTACACCTGTATCAGGTTTTCACACTCAATTGGACAATTATTTTCCAGCTGTCTCTGTGCTGTACATTGAACACTGCTATATGTGCATTTCCCTCACTGCCTGGCACAGCCAGCAAAAGGCTAACACAGGGAGTCTCCCTCTACAGCCTCAGCCAGCCCCAATACAGTAGAGCAGAGAAGCTTGGATTTATTAAAAGGTAAAAATAGCAGCCCCAAGGATGCCTAATAACAGCCTCTAAAGGGTTATTATATGGTAGGTGGTGAGCTACAGCTCCCCTTTCCACCAAAAATAGAATAAGAGGAAATGAATAGAAACTTCAGTAGGTGGGACTGAGGCTAAGCATTTGGAATAACTGGAAAAGGTGGAAGGCTTTGGATCATGAGTTTTGCATGTAATTAAGGGAAAAGGCGCAGTGCCTGGCACATACTAGGAACAATATAGCAACGTGCATTTGATGAAGAAAGATGACCTCTCAAGGACAGGACTGCAGACCAGATTGAGATGGATACTTTTCTGGAATATGCCTGCCTGACTCCAAGTCACTCCGCCATTCCATGTTTTCCAGATCACGTATGTGGTCTCCACTGTGGATAATAACGTATGTGAAAGGGCTTTGGAATACAGATGGAAAGTATTATTGTTTTCCATTTGTTTTCCTGTCTCTTTTCAAGGACTCCAACAGGTTTTCCCTTGTGCTGAAGTGTCCGCCAGACTGCAGGTTCCTCCAGGGCTGAGCCTGCATCTCCTGTTTCCTATGCCCTTGGTACCCATGTCAAGAGGAAGTCACAGCAATGACTGCCTGAGCCAGAACAGAGGAAGAAAAACAGATGACCACAGAAAAGTGGCCACTGAGCAGGACAGAGGGAAGCTCTGAACTCTAGGGTTGGGTGGTTGAGAAAACCTCATTTGGAAAATGCTGACTTTGAAGCCACAGCCTTACACCAGCGTTAGAATAAACAGTTTTGCCAAGGGTAACAAGGATTACAGAGGTCACTGTGTAAACATACTAGAAAAAAATGGAGAACCAAGCATAAACGTAAAGTTGGATCTCTCTGGGCCAGAGGCAATAGTGAAGAAGTTCTTTTAGGAGGTGACGGGCTGGTTTTCTTCTTTGCATGACCAAATAAATATTGCCAAGAAGCTGAACTGTGCATAAGGAGAAGCATATCCAGTCCTGCTTGTGGGGAGACAGCTCTTGAAGGGAAGGCAGCTGAGAAGGCAGGGGGTCTGGGGAAAATGAGGACTGGGGGCAGATAAAGATGCCAGCCCTGCTTTGATATTTTCGTCTTGGTGACTCAGCTGACTCCCCCTCTCTTCAAAAGCCTTCCAACTCCTGGAGCACAAGAATTCAGCCACAGCTAGGAGCTCTATGAGAGACTCTGATGCAGAAAGATTTGCTGATCAAACAAATAATGATTTTGATTTGCAGACATTGATACAGGATGATCTCCATAACACGTTAAGTTGTAAAGAAAACAGACTGTAAGAAACACATAAGGCTGGGTGCCATGGCTCATACCTATAATGATTTGGGGAAGACAAGGCGGGTGGATTGAATGAACTCAGGAGTTCAAGACCAGCCTGGGCAACATGGCAAAACCCCATCTCTATAAAAAGTATGAAAATTAGCCAGGCGTGGTGGCGTATACTTATAGTCCCAGCTACTTGGGAGGCTGAGGCAGAAGGATAGCTTGATCCCGGGAGGCAGAGGTTGCAGTGAGCCAAGGTTGAGCCACTGCACTCCAGCCTGGGTGACAGAGCAAGATATTATCTCAAAAAAATAATAATAATAAAGAAAGAAAAAGAAATATAAGTATTCTTGGCCAGGCATGGTGGCTCATGCCTGTAATCCCAGTACTTTGGGAGGCCAAGGTGGGTGGATCACCTGAGGTCAGGAGTTCGAGACCAGCCTGTCCAACATAGTGAAGCCCCCGTCTCTACAAAAAAATACAAAAAGTAGCCAGGCATAGTGGCATGTGCCTGTAATCCCAGCTACTCGGGAGGCTGAAATCCCAGCTACTTGGGAGGCTGAGGCAGGAGAATCGCTTGAACCCGGGAGGCAGAGGTTGCAGTGAGCCAAGATCGCGCCACTGCCCTCCAGCCTAAGCGACTCCATCTCAAAAAGAAAAACAAATGTAGAAGTATTCTTGTAAAGATGTTTGAATGGCAGGTATGTGCCCAGAATGTATTACTGAAAGCATGTTCAAAAAAATGTTTAACAGTATGTCAGGTAAGCTTTACCATCTTAAATGTTTCTTTATTGAATAATTTCCTACAATGAGTAGACAGCTATTTTTATGACCAGAAAAAAAAAAAACTATTTTTTATTTGAAAACAAAGCATAGCAACGGGCCTGGTGCCCCAACTCTGAAAGCAAGAGAGTACAACCCTTTAAAAAAAAAAAAATAGCATTATATATTCCGGGATCCGGGATGTTTCACTCAAATCCAGCAAGACGAAGCTGGAATGGGGCTAGAATAGGTCAGTATGGAGTTTCCCTGATGTAACTTCAACACCCATCAACTGAACGAGTTGATATGTTCAGGAAAGATATGTCTTTTCCTAGATGTCTTACCCATTCTGAGATCTAGTTCTTTTTTTGCACAGAGTCACCGCAGGCTGGCAAATTCAGGCTTCAAACCCTTGGCCTGGTTCTACTTCCCTTTCAGAAGACTTTAGTTACCAAGTAAGGGAGAGTCCCATGAACCAGACCCCTTGACTTTTACTCTGAGTGATCCACGCAATTATCCTCTTTCTTCAAGTGGGACCAAGTTGGCCATCTGTAGGATGCTACCAGAAGATAACATCCTAGTCAGTACTGAGGTCCCCATCTCTCCTTCTGGAGGATTTTAATCATTATTTTTATAAGAGTTCTGGAAGTCTGCCTAATTGTGAGCCTCGCCACCCTTACTATCTCTTCTCACACCTTTAAATATTCTTCAAACCTATTGAGTAGCACCATATGTACACAAACACACATACCTGGCCTACCAGAGATCACTAACTTAGACCCACTGCTTCTCAAAAGTGTCCATATGCCCAGTCCTGTCCCAGGAATTTCAAAGGGGCTCAGTCAGTGAGTCAAACCCCTGCCCTGAGTGGCTCCTGGATGGGGAATCCCCAATCTGGGTGCTCTGAAGTCCACGAGTCTTGCCCAGGTGCAACTTATGACCTGTGAGAGCTTGGAAATAGGAAATTTTTAAAAGAGGACAAAAGGGGAACTAACATTTACCATATGCCCTTAGACACCAGGCATGACAGTAGGTGCTCACGTACATACATACGCTACTGGGTTTGTAAGGTGCTGAGAGAAGATGGGGCACTGAATCAAATAGAATACATAAGTGAAAAGGGATCCCCCCCACCCCAATTACAACACTGCAGGGAGTCCTCGAAAGTCAGGAACTGCTCTTTGTTGAAGGCTTGTTTAATAATTAACAAAACTCTTCTGAGGTCCACTGAGCCCCAGAAAAGCAATGCAGCCTCTGGGCCTGAAGTTTGTCCACAAGTATACCCAAGTAGCAACCTTTGCCACCTGTTGTGCCCCAGACATTCTAGGTCAGTTCCAATAACCCAAGACTCCAACACTTATCCTCTGCCCTTCTTCTCCCTTCTGGGACCAACACACTGAAGCCCAGGCATCCCCTTCATGGTTCCTCCCAGGCCTTGCTGGCCTTCTCAACCTTCAGGACCCTGACGGTCCTCCCCATTCCAGTGAAACCCAGGCTGACAGGCCTGTCCCAGTCTCTCTCCCGGGCCTTGCAAACCTGAGACACTCCTCACTCACTCACCCATTTATTCATTCATTCATTCATTCATTCACTCATTCATTCACTGCCAAATATTTATTGACTATCTACTGAGGGACAGGAAGCCCTGCTAACAGGAGAAAAACCTGAGGCTCGGGCACATTAGATGACTTATCCACAGTCATCTTGCTAGTTAGTGGCAAAACAGGTACCACTACCCATTATCTGGCCTCCTCACCCGTGTTTTTTCCCACACCACATCCACAATCTTTGGTCCACTGAGGCTCCGGTCTGATGGCATCGGGGAGAGGGTTGGGACATCCCTTTCTCTCCAACTGCTCCGCTCAGCGCGCTCCACATTTCCAATCACTATCGACGCTATCCCTAATTCCCCTTCTGACCCCACCTCATGATCTTCCTTGCTTCTTCTAGAGGTGTTCTTACTCCTGGGCCTTCCCGACCCTTAGACCCAACTCTGCCCTCCCCTAGGCCCCCACTTTCCCCACTCAGAGCCCCCACACAATTCAGGACACAAGAGGCCCCATCTGAGGTTCTCCCTCACCATGTCCTCAGCCACACGCCCTGACTCCGGACCTCTGTCGCCGCCCGGGCGCCTCCAAGGCCTTGGTGTTGACGCGTTACCGTGGCAACCACTAGCCCGCGTTCCTCGGCTCAGGCCCCGCCCCCGGCCCCGCCCCTCCCACCTCCAGTGGGCAGTTGCCTTGTGCTGGAGGCGTAGGAACCCGAGCCGGTCGCTCCAACCGTTGCAGCCCCGCGCTCCAGCCCAACCGCGGCTCTGAAGGATTGACCCGCCCTAGCGTGCCCTGCTCTGCACTTTGGCTCTGGCCAAACTTTTAGGTCAGAACCCGAACTTAAAGAGCTTACCATGGGCCGAGGGAGTTCTAACTGTCAGCGGCCCACGGTCACAGTTTTCCCCAGGGACTTCACCTAGGTTACTATGATTACCCTTGCCCCACTGCCCAGGAGGCGCCAAGCCAACCCCTGATGAGTGTAATCTGCAGAGAAGCCAGCAGGATCAGACCAAACTAGTTTCACAGCAGAAGACAGTCTGGTCGGGTCAAGAAAGAACTTCCAGCCCTGAGGATGTCTCTGCAGTCTCAGAAGCAGTTTCTTAAATTGCGGGCCTCAAATCTCCGGCTAAGAATCACCTGGAGAGTTTATTAAAAATGGAGGCCCTACATTAGAATAAGTCAAAAGCTAAGGAACTGACCTTGGGGTACTACTTCCTAGCTGGTATGTACTGTTCTAGAAAGTACATAGGGGTTTTGTCATTTTTTCCAATTTGGTTTGGCCTCTCTACCTCCCAGCTTGCAGGGCTGGCATTGAACTCACCTCGGTAGGCTGCGTGCTCCAAGCCTCACAAAGCTGTCCCACCAGACCAAGGACATTTGTCTTCCTCCGGTGCTGATTAGCTAAGCTCTTGGTGTGACTCTGTGAGTCTCTGAGCTGCTTTCTCAAACCTCTCTCCAAACCCTCACAGCCAGTCTTTCTGAAGCTCTTACTCCAACTTGCATACTGAAGGCTGTTCACAAGCCCCAGGGGAATGGAAGAAGGGAGACAAGGTCACTTCTTGCTGCTTTTAAAAGGACTTTTTCCAACAGGCTTCACATTCCTTCCCTAGATTTCCCAGCCTTTATCTCCTTTGGGATTAAGAGTACGAAATTGTGTCCCTGCGCAGAGTCCCACCAAGTGTTGAAGGCTTAATCAGAGGGAGAAGGGAAGGCCTGAAGAGAAGAAGCACAGTCCATGGGAGGCTTGGGACTGAGAGAGGGGGTTGTTCTGTTCCTGGGAACCTTCCTTACTAAGCCTTGGCATTAGAACCCCCTTCCCTGCAGCTCAGAAAGAAGGAAAAACAAGTAACCGGCCCACTGTAGACAAGGTGCTTCCTGTATTCTTTTCACCCCATTCTCCCAGGCACATCTGCATGACGTAGTTACTATCCCTGTAACCAAAGAGGAAACTGAGGCCAAGAAAAATAATTGTCCAAACTGAAAGTCTGTATCTTAGCCCAGGGTGACTCGCTGAAGAAAAGGTGCAAAGTTGAGGCAGAAAGGGCTGGGCACGGTGGCTCATGCCCATAATCCCAGCACTTTGGGAGGCCGAGGTGGGCAGATCACGAGGTAGGAGTTGGAGACCAGCCTGGCCAACATAGTGAAACCCCATCTCTACTAAAAATACAAAAAATTAGCCAGGGGTGGTGGCGGGCACCTGTAATCCCAGCTACTCAGGAGGCTGAGGCAGAAGAATGGTTTGAACCCGGGAGGGGAAGATTGCAGTGAGCCAAGATCACTCCAGCCCAGGCGACAATGCAAGACTCTGTCTCAAGGAAAAACAAAAAAAGATTGAGGCAGGAAGGAGGGAATGACAGAGCGCAGTGTAAGGGACTTGCCTCCCAGCAGGCAATTACACGCCTATAATCCCAATACTTTGGGAGCCTAAGGCAGAAGGATTGCTTGCATCCAGGAGTTTGAGAACACCCTGGGCAACATAGGGAGATCTCATCACTACAAAAAATCAAAAATTAGCCAGGCATAGTGGTACATGCGGGTGGTCCCAGCTACTTGGGAGGCTGCACTAGGAGGGTCACTTGAGCCTGGGAGGTTGAGGCTGCTCTGAGCCATGATTGTGCCAATGCACCCAGCCTGGGTGACAGAGTGAGACTCTGTCTTGAAAAATAAAGTAAATAAAATACAATAAAAATTTATCTCAAAGCTAACAATGCTTAAGCTTCAGGCCTCTCATTTACGTAAGCACATGTCAAGGCTCAGAGAAGAACCCGTGGCAATGTGTCTACAGGCATACCTTGGAGATATTGCAGATCAGGCTTCAGAGCACTGCAATAAAACAAATATCACAATACAGTGTGAGCGACACAAATTATTTGGTTTCCCAGTGCATATGAAAGTTACATTTGCACTATACTGTAGTCTATCAGGTGTGCAATAGCATTATGTCTTAAAAAAATGTGCAGACTTTAATTTAAATATACTTCATTGCTAAAAAGTGCTAACAATCATCTGAGACTTCAGCGACAGTCATCATCTTTTTGTGGGTGGAGGGTCTTTCCTTGTGTTAATGGCTGCTAACTGATGAGGGTAGCACTTGCTGAAGGCAGAGATGGCTGCAGCAATTTCTTACAATGAGACAACAGTGAAGTTTGCCACATCAGTTGGCTCTTCGTTTCTTTTTTTTTTTTCAAATGGAGTTTCACTCTTGTTGCCCAAGCTGAAGTTCAATGACGCGATCTCAGCTCCCTGCAACCTCTGCCTCCCGGGTTCAAGATATTCTTCTGCCTCAGCCTCCAGAGTAGCTGGGATTACATGCGCCACCACACCCAGTTAATTTTGTGTTTGTTTGTTTGCTTGTTTGTTTTTAAGACGGAGTTTTGCTCTTGTTGCCCAGGCTGGAGTGCAATGGCGCGATCTCCGCTCACCACAACCTCCACCTCCCGGATTCAAGCGATTTTCCTGCCTAGGCCTCCCGAGTAACTGGGATTCGAGGCATGCAGCACCATACCCGGCTAATTTTGTATTTTTAGTAGAGACAGGGTTTCTCCATGTTGCTCAGGCTGGTCTCAAACTCCCGACCTCAGGTGATCCGCCCGCCTGGACTTCCCAGAGTGTTGGGATTACAAGCGTGAGCCACTGCGCCCGGCTGACTCTTTCATGAAAGATTTCTCTGTAGGATGTAATGCTGTTTCATAGCATTTTACCCACAGTAGAACTTCTTTCAAACTTGGCATCAATCCCTTCAAGCCCTGCAGCTGCTGTATCATCTAAGTTTATGGAATATTCTAAATTCTTTTTTTGTCATTTCAATAATGATTACAGTGTCTTCACCATGAGTAAACTCTTTTCTGTTTGTTTGTTGTTTTAAAGCTCCATCGTCAATGGAATAGGAGTAGATTCTACCCCCTAAGAAACAACTCCTCACCATTCCAGTTTCATCACGAGATTGCAGCAATTTGGTCACATCTTCAGATTCCATTTCTGATTCTAGCTCTCTTGCTATTTCCACCATGTCTGGTATTACTTCTTGCACTGAAGTCCTGAACCCCTCAAAGTCATCCATGAGAGTTGGAATTACCTTCCATCAAACTCCTGTTAATCTCAATGTTTTGATCTTTTCTCATGAATCATAAATGTTCTTAATGGCATCTAAAATAGCGAATCTTTTTCAGAAGGTTTTCATTTTACTTTGCCCAGATGCATCAGAAAAAAAAAAAATCATTATCTATGGCAGTTATAGCCTTACAAAATGTATTTCTTAAATAATAAGACTTGAAACTGGAAATTACATCTTGATCCATAGGCTACAAAATGGATATTGTGTTAGCAGAAATGAAAACAATATTGCTCTTCTACTACATCTCCATCAGAGTCCTTGGATGACTAGATGTATTGTCAATGAGCAGTAATATTCTGAAAGGAATCTTTTTTTCTGGGCAGTAGGTCTCAATAGTGGGCTTAAAATATTCAGTAAACCATGTTGTAAACAAATGTGCTGTCATCCCGGCTTTGTTGGGCCATTGATAGAGCACAGGCAGAACCAATTTAGTATAATTCTGAAGGGCCTTAGGATTTTTGGAATGATAAGTAAGCATTGCTCTCAACTTAAAGAAACCAGCTGGCAGGGTGTGGTGGCTCATGCCTGTAATCCCAACACTCTGGGAGGCTGAGGTGGGCAGATCATTTGAAGTCAGGACTTTGAGACCAGCCTGGCCAACATGGTAAAACCTATCTCTACTAAAAATGCAAAAAAAAAAAAGATCTGGGCATGGTGACATGTGCCTGTAATCCCAGCTACTCGAGGCACGAGAATCACTTGAACCCAGGAGGTGGAAGTTGCAGTGAGCTGAGATTGTGCCACTGCACTCCAGCCTGTGTGACACAGTGAGACCTTTTCTCAAAAAAAAACAAAAATAAAAAAATAAAGGAACCAACTGTGTTAACCCCTAACAAGAAAGTCAGCCATCCCTTTGAAGTTTTGAAGCATTGACTTCTCTCTAGTCATGAAAGTCTTAGATGGTATCTTCGTCCGTAGAAGGCTGTTTCATCTACATTCAAAATCTGTAAGTGTAGCCACCTTCATCAATTGTCTTAGCTAGATCTTCTGGATAACTTGCTTCAGGTTCTGCATCAGCACTTGCTGCTTCACCTTGCACTTGTATGTTATGGAGATAACCTCTTTTCTTAAACCTCATGAACCAACCTCGGCTAACTTCAAACTTTTTTTCTTCCTCACCTCTCTCACCCTTCATAGAAGTGAAGAGAGTTAGGGCCTTGCTCTTGAGTAAGTGAACTTCTTTTTTCTTTTTCTTTCTTTTTTTTTCTTTTTTTTTTTTTTTTGAGACAGAGTCTTGCTGTGTTGCCCAGGTTGGAATGCAGTGGTGCGATCTCAGCTCACTGTAAGCTCCGCCTCCCAGGTTCACACCATTCTCCTGCCTCAGCCTCCCGAATAGTGGGACTACAGGCGCCCGCCACCGCGCCTGGCTAATTTTTTTGTATTTTTAGTAGAGACAGGGTTTCACTGTGTTAGCCAGGATGGTCTCAATCTCCTGACCTCGTGATCCACCTGCCTCAGCCTCCCAAAGTGCTGGGATTACAGGCGTGAGCCACCGTGCCCGGCCCAACTAGGTGGAC